ACTGAGTTAAGTGCAACCAAGTACGTGGTAATGGTGCTACCTTTCAAGTGTCTCTGGGTACGCAGATGTAGGAGGTATTCAGCTAAAAACTGAGGTGACGCCGTAGTAGGATCTTGACCTTTTGCCTTGCAAAAAGTCTCAAATGATCCCCACTTATCATCGTAAAGGCTTCTAGTAGAGGGACGATGAGCTAAGGTTATAGCTTTAGCTGCCCGATCCGAATAGCCTTTGGCACTTAATGCCTTTTTAAGACGAACCAACCGTGCAGACGAAATTTGTCTGGTGTTGGATGAGGCAATTTGCTGTGAGGGTGGATTAGTAGGTTGGACCACTGTGGAAGGTGTAGTGGATCTTTTCCTGCTAGCTTCCTGAGCTCGACGAACCACCCTCTCGCTGGCCACCAGGGCGCGACCAAAGTCAGAGCAAGTGTTCTTGTCTCTTGGATCTTTTGTATTACCCTGGGAAGTAGAACTGGTGGCGGAAATGCATACGCCTTTATTCCTTCCCAAGGAATGCTGAATGCGTCCACCGCCCAAGCCTTCGGATCTGGTAACGGGGAGACATATGTCAAAAGTTGGTGGTTTTGGCAAGTTGCAAACAGGTCGATGTTTGGTTGCCCGAACTTCCGAACCAATAATTGGAATGCTTCTGTGTGAAGTTTCCACTCGGTGGGTGCTACCCTGTCTGGGCGTGATAGAGCATCGGCCAGAATATTTCGACATCCGGGGATGTGCTGAACTATGAACTGTAGTTGCAGCCGATCCACTAGATGGAAAAACCTGAATGTCTGTTGAAGTAGCGAGTTGGAGTGTGTTGTTCCCTGATTGCGCAGGCACCACACCACAGTGCTGTTGTCTGTGGATATGGATAGTTGGGTTGATTGTAGTTGATTCTGCCAATGGGATATGGCTAGAATTACGGCTTCCAACTCCAGATTGTTTATGTGCCATTTCCGATGAGCGCTTGACCATAGCCCTGAGACTGTCTGGTCTTGTAGGTGAGCACCCCACCCCTGAAGGGAGGCGTCTGCGAATAGGTGTAGATTCGGGGACAACCCTGATAAAGAGATTCCTCCTAAGACATTCGACTCTATCGTCCACCAACGGAGATAAGGTCTCAAATTCGTTGGTAGCATGATGGCCCTGAGTGGATCCTGACTCCTGATGTAGGGATTCAGGAATTGTTGTATTGGGCGTAACTGTAATCGGCCTCTGTTGGTTAGGTCCTGGGCTGAGGTGAGTAACCCTAGCAACACTTGCCATTGGTGAAGTGTGCGTGGTTGACAAAGAGCAGGTGACAGGAGGCGTAAAATCTTGTGCCATCTGTCCCTGGGAACCGACAGGAGGTTCTGATCTGTTTGAAATAGTCCTCCTATGAACTGGAGTCGAAATGATGGAGTTAACTCCGATTTCGCCTCGTTGACTATCCAACCCAGTTGATATAGTAGTCTTCTGGTGAATTCCCGGTGACATATTAACGTCGGTGTGTGTTGATGACACAGGAGACAGTCGTCTATGTACGACTGGAACCAAATGTTCCTCAGTTGTAGAAACACAGTTATGGGCTTCATTATTCGTGTAAATAGCCACGGGGCCACTGAAATGCCAAATGGGAGTACTGCCCACTGGTAGTGGACCCCATTGAACTGGAACCTGAGGAATCTGCGATCTTTGGGATGAATCGGTATGTGCAGATATGCATCCTGTAGATCGATACTGATCAAGGAATCGAACGCTTTTATGCTGGTTCTGAGTAGTCTCAATGTAATGAGGCGGAAATAGGGTGGACGCTTCAGATAGAGCTCGTTGAAAACAGAGAGATTGTGTATCATTCTCATCTTGTCTGAGCCCTTCTTGGGTACCAGGAAGATGTGAGAATAAAATCCCGGAGTTAGCGCTGGGGTGTGTATAATCTCTACGGCTCTTTTCTCCAATAGTAAGTCTATGTTGGCCTTTAAAAGGACATGTTGCTTCCTTGGATAATTCCCCGGAATGGGTGCCGTGGTCAACGGAGGAAAAACCTCTATGTCTAGTTGGTAACCCTGGCGTAGAATGTTGAGAACATAATCGTCCCTGAGGATGCTCCAGTTCTTCCAAAACCGATTCAGTCTCCCGCCTACAGGGGTATCGACAATTGGGACGACTGGGGGTAGGAGATCCCAGTCGTGACTGTCTAACATTTCAATGTTTGCCCCTCCTATCACCTCCCTTACTGTGGTATTTACCACGTCGGGATTGATAAGAACCCTGGGGTTTTCCTCTGCCACGCCCCTTGCCACGAAAAGAATCTTGCACCTGTCCTTCCTTAAGCGACTCACGTCTAGGCCTGTAGTTGCCTGACTTGCCCGATCGCTGGGAAAAATTTTGAGAAACATGCTCCAAAGCCTTGAGTGCTGTTTCATCCCTAGCGTAACTGGAAACCTTAGCGTGTGTGTCTGAAATCTGTTCGTTGAACAGAGATGATGAAGACCAAGGTTGACGTAGCAATCTGCGTTTAAACTCTGAGTCCCAAGTAGATAAGGCTAAATAACCCAATCTCCGAGTGACAGTTATTTCTGCCAACGCAGCTTTAAGATGATTTCTTATATGGTCAATCTGACGCTGTTGAAAATCAACTATAGTTTGGAGGTGATCTAGTCTGTTAGGATTATCCTCTGACAGATCCTGCTCTACCGCCCGAGTAGACGATGCTAATGCTGCTAAAGGTTTTAATACCCTTCGGATTTCTGTTTCAATAAACGCAACTCTGGTATCCTGAACCTTAAGAGTGGTAGGCCTTGACGAGCCTGTCATTCTGTGTATATCCTCATCCAAACTATGTGCCTGGTTTGCTGCCTCAAAGCCATGAATAGGAAATTCATCCTTCCTAAACCTGGGAGGTCTGAATGACGGTGTAAGTGTGAGCTTGGAGAAGTCCTCATCCAAAGATCTAATCATATCTGACATCATAGGGTCAATCGGAATCGACGTAGGATGTGTCCAAATAGTATCTTTTTTATCTACCCCACTACCCGGGGAAGGTACTGAAATGAGGCGGTCAGCTACCCAATCAGGTACTTGAGCCAGGCTAAGGTGAGTATTCCATTCGTTCGCGGAATCTCCCTCCTCACCATTAGAACCATCTGATGAATCAGAACGACGTTGATGTGTACGTCTTGATGGTGAACGACTTCTACTCCGATGTGCAATATTACCTCTGACCGAGGGCTTAGATGAACTGCCTGGTGACAAGGAATCATGCGTTGATGTCCAAGTACGGGCAGGTGTACTGGTACTACTCAACGAAGAATGTACTGTATTATGACTCATAATAGGAGTGTTATACACATTAGTCACTGGAGTAGGCGGTAAAATATGTGCCGTAGATGTAGTTGATGCAGGTGTCTGATACATAGGCATAGGTGTAGGCAAAGGCATAGGCGTAGGCATAGGCGTAGGCGTAGGCATAGGCGCAGGCGTAGGATACAGTTGTGTCATAGACTGCTGCCACATTGATTGTAGAAAATTTTGCATCCAATTAGTGTTTGGAATTGGCATAGGCGCCTGCGCTGGATACATTGGTACAGCGCTAAGCTGATCGTGCGCTGGTTGCGTAATATCATACGCTGATAACCCTTGGGCTGAAGTCATTGTAGAAGCGCTTGGGTAGTAGGGCTTGGCTGCGCTCGGCGCAGGCATATGAGGCGCAATGCTCAATGGAGTAGACTTGAGTCTAGCTTGGCTTGGCGCTATCCCCGACAACGCATCTTGAGACGCTGGCGCACTGTCTGCATACGTAACAGATGTAGAATTCTCCAAATTAGGTGCAATTATAATACGCCCAACATTCTCCGGGAGAGAAGATTCCGGTGGCATGTGCACCTCCGCGGTGACAGTTACGGCCGACCTATTATCCCTCATAGATAAAGGTTGCGTCGTAATGATCGAATCCTGTCCCTCGCTCATTTGCGATAGCGATAGAGACATTTTCCTTTTCTCAAGACGTGATTGCTGCAAAATACGTTTGTGAGTGACTTGCCTATACCTCGCGAAACTCTTTGGAGAGAGGTTTTTACAAAAAACACATTTAGAATTTGGTGCACAAATTTGTGTACATGACAAACAACGTGGGTGAGGATCTTGAATAGATTTTTTCCCACGACAATTAGTACAACGCGCAAGCATAAGTTACGCAATAATATACTAGAAGAAAACGGGACTGGAATTTACTGCCGTAGATAATTTCTCGGCAAAATATTTGAACGAGTTGATAGTGTATAAATGCTTGAATATACGCAACTCAATGAACCGCCAAAGCTAGAAGTATTGAAAACAACATATGAAATATGTTATACATACCTAGCCGATAATTGTAAACAATTGACTACCTTTACCAAGCAAACAATTGTAACACAATTCAAAATGGCGGGGAACAGATAGCACGTGGCGGGAAAAAAGACACGTCTCTTTTTCCGCCTCAAAACATCAAATACAACTTCACAACATGTTGAAAGTAATATGAAAGGTATACATCACCCATCGCAGAAGAATTTTAGAATGGTAGACGAATGGAAAGCCTAAATAAATCCAAAAAAACGAGAGCTCCGCTGGAAACGTCCTAGCTATGTCGCGACAGGCAGTGATGTGAAGAGTTGACCTTTGGTCACGTGATCACCGGGACAGCGACGGCGGGATATAAAAGTTGGATTGTGAACAGAATAATTCACCCAAGGACCATCGCCGGTTAGCTGTCCCAGTTTTTTTTGTCGTAAGGTAAGCAGTGAATGCATTAAGGAGTAATGCAGGATAAGTAAAAAATATATGATATGATATATGACATGATATATGACATGACATGACATGACATATGACATGACATGACATGATCTGATCTAAATCAATCAATATTTGGCACACTGGTTTCTTCACTTCACAATACAACAGCACAAATTCATATTCAAGTGTAAAATAACAGCAAGGACTCGGTCAGCCTCCAGCTGGCTGCATGAGGTGAACACTTACGTGAAGACCGCCGCACAGAAGGAGCCATTTGGGGACAAACACGTGCCATGACAGCTCCACAGATATTTGTCGTCTTTAGGAAATGGTAGCAGGCTGGTGTCAACAACAATTTCTGCAATAAACAGCATGATTGAATCATGTTTTACGTTGCTTTTAGCAATAGTCAGCAATATGAAAATGAGCATTGAAATCGGGGCTTCCATGTGACAAGCAAACAAATTAACCACAAGGCTACACCTGCCTCAGAGTGAGTAAGTCATGTGTAGGTGTGGTGGTGGTGGTGGTGGTGAAATGGGGCTTAAAGTCACATTCAGGATTATTGCACTTATATGGCAATGCACATGTGTGAATGTGAGTTTCTGGGTCTTCTTGTACGAGTCCAGTCTAATGACCATTTTCTAGTGCTAGCCCACTGAAGTACCATGAGGCAGTCTAACTTGGATATCCACTCAGACACAGTATACTGACTCCGAGCCAAACAGTTCTTGTTTTAGCCCCTTATGCCAAGTGCCAGACAGGGAAACCATGAGTACAATATTTTAAGGCTTTTGGTGTGATGCCGCTGGGATTGAACCACCAACATTTTGTTGGTGGCAAACACTCTTTCCACGACACCACACAGGAGGTGCAGTGTGAATGGAGTTTTATGCAAAAAGGACCAATGTTGCTTCTTGCTGTAGCAGTATTCTCACAATACCACACTGGCCTGTAGTGAATGAGTGAGTTGGTTTTAACGCCGTTTTTAACTATATTCCAGTTATATTTCGGCGTGTCAGCTTAATGTGGGAGGAAAGCCCGAAGTGATGCAGGTCTCAGACGTTTACCGCTTCGGTGAAACACACGAGCACGGGTATGGTGCTGACGAACCTAGAAACATAATCGGGGAGAACCGGGATTCGAACCAACAATCATAGGTTTCTGGCGTGCCCAAGGGACGCAACTCAGCGCAGCGAATAGCGGAGCCTTAGACGACTGGGCCACCCGTGCCCCTGGCCTGTAAATATGGAACTGGGTTGAATCAAATCATCTTGACACCATCACAGCCTGTGATGTCTTATACTGGACAAGTCACAGTTTCAAGTGGGAGCTGTGACACAACCGCCACAGTACTGAACTCCTGGCATGGAGGTACTTCAAACAGCAATCATATCTCACACCCAAAACTGATTCCTGTAGCTGCTGAATCCTCATTAGTCATTGGCTACTCACAGAGACAGTCACTGGGTACCTATCCTGACTCAGAATCCTGAGTCATGCATTGTAACAGCATGATACAATGAAACCAGACTACCTGCACTTTTGTTCCTCATCTCGGTGACCGTCACCTTTTGTACAACTCCGTCCGCTGAACCGAGGACAGTAATACTGTCGTGACTGGCTAAACCTACAACATAGAAGGTACTGACACATTCCTCATGTTACAATTCAAAATTCATGCTAGCCCGTGACTATTGGAATTGTGTTGAGGAAAACAAATATAAAGATGACTAGTAGCATTTAAGGGCTATAATTTTGAACGAGTTCTCAAGGTTTCAATTTTGCTTCAAATTGGAACTGAAAAATTACTGACAGAATGTAAATAGAGTACATAGTTTAGTCTTGTTCAAGCATGACTAGCTACAAACGCTGAGGACTTGTGAAATAAGGTTTAGACAAGTCAGGACTAATCATAAAAAAGGAAAAAAGACCGATGAATTTCTCAGGCTGCTAAACTAAACCTCTCCAGCCATTCCTGGAGACTGCATGACAATATGGCCGCACTCAGCAATAGCCATGTGTGAAAACCTGTAAATAATCAGATCAGGGTCCCATTCCATAATGTGACCCTAGCGCTGCGACTACCGTATTTTCTTGAGTATAGTGCGCACCCATGTATAATGCGCACCCCCCTCTAGCGGGTTCAATATTTTGGAAAAAAAGAAATTTGAATATTATGCGCAGAAAAAAATTACACCGTACCCTTTCAGCGAAGTCCGGCAAACGAACGGGTGCTGAGAAACTTCGTCAGTACAAATTCAAAATTTGAGATAAAAAATCACCAGACATGTTTATTTACCGTTTAAATAGTATTTATTGTTCTGCTAGGCATTGTTTTATATCTAGGGATTAAAATTACCTTGTGTATTTTCTCATAAACTAAGCCGGAAACAGCAATCAGCTGTACACACGTTTTCTTGGAATCGACAGGTGATTCGGTCAAGACACACCCAATGATATAACTTTTTCGGATTTTTAATGCAAGGATCGGCATTAATTGTATCTGAAACTATTTTTTTTATCAGGAATAATATATTCCATTATTTTCTTAATTATATGCAGCCTTTACTAAACATATTTAAAATAATAATAACCCTAAGCGAAGCAGCTGATCGCTATTGCCGGGTATTATTTTTTACATGTAACCAGTCTGACAAGTCACCGTCAAGGCTCACGCGCATGTGATCGCGTGATCGCGAGAATTTCATGTTGACATAGAATCGTCAAACAAAAACAAATATGACTTTTAACGAGTCAAAGTATGTCATTTATGAATTAAGTTACAAACATAAGTCCAGATATACAAAGAAAACTTTTTATAGCCAGACAGTGTAATTACATGATTATTTTGCGTACTTCAGTATGGATTTGTTAACATGGCATTTCCGGTGTTTCGCGCTCACGGTAATGTCTTTCAATGGGGGAAAAAAACATCCAAACTCATAATTCGTGTATAATGTGCACCCCCTTCTACACAGCTGTGTTTTTTCGAAAAAAAGTGCGCACTATACTCAAGAAAATACGGTATCATATGTAAGTATCATATCGTAAGTATTGGAGTTACGATCATCTCAGCACTAAAATCAATTTGTGGAACAGGGCCAAGAGAAACAAGTGACAGATATTATGTGCAACCTACCGGTGCCGGCCATCCAGTGACTTCCTGTTACTGTGGCCTTCTGGGAGAAACTCAGTTTGTTGTCTACTTTAACACTGTGAGTCAATAAATATTGTTCCTTGCTGGATATCAGTAGATAACAATCCTGCAAAGAAAGGGGGGTGAGTAACATGGGATTGAACAGTCTTGTGACAAGGTGATTGTGGCATTAATGTTTCATATTATTATTCTATGATGTCTTTGAGCCTAGCAGTCGTTTAGCTGAAGGGCACAATGGTTGACTTTTTATATCATTTCCGGTTGGGGAAAATAGATGTCATATACAGTGTAACTTTCAATAGAAAGTGGTATGCCTCTTAGAAACATTGAAGACATGGAAGAAGTATGTTTTCATGTACTGTGAGTGAGTGAGTGAGTGAGTGAGTGAGTGAGTGAGTGAGTGAGTGAGTGAGTTGGGCTCAGTGCCGCTTTGAAAAGTGTTCCTGTTACAGCAAGGCGTGTCAGCTTTATGTGGGAGGAAAACTTGAAGTGATGCACGTCTCAGATGTTTACCTCTTTAGTGAAATCCATGACGGGAATTGGGGAGTTAGGGAATTGGGGAATTCTACGAGCACGGGTAAGGTGGTAACAAACCTAGAAACAAATCTGGGGCAAGCTAGGATTAGAATTCCGAATTATAGCTTTCTGGCATGCCCAAGGGATGCAACTCTGCCAGCAAACTGACTTGGCTACCAATGCTCACTGTGAGTGAGTTTGGTTTTACGCCGCTTTTAGCAATATTCCAGCAATATCATGGCGGGGGACACCAGAAATGGGCTTCACACATTGTAGCCATGTCAGAATTCGAACCCAGGTCTTCGGCATGGCGAGCTAACGCTTTAACCACTAGGCTACCCGACCGCCCCGTTCACTTAGAGAAATGTTCCAATATTTGGGTACATCTGCCCTTTAAACCACCATCAAGTAATGCCAGTGTTAGTACTCACCTTCAGTTTCTTCCAGCACATGCAGGAGATTCGAAGATCATCCTTCTCCCCGTAGAGGCATGCCGGTCTGACGGACACCTCGTCCCCACCGAGAGTCACGTCCATCAGGTGGATCACTCCACTGTTGTAACCAACTGCCAAAACAGCTGAAACACAGTTGAATCATCCTGAACTTGCTTCCACAGGAGATGTCACTTGGGCGATATTAATGGATATCTCCTAGGAGATATTGCTACAGTGAACTGCATCACTATGCTTGCAGACCACTGTGACATCATCGGTCACTATGACTTCATAATCAATGACTTCACTTGTCTCCCTATCACTGAAGCTTGCTAGATCCAATTTTTTTCAACTCAAGGCACTAACTGTACAAGCTTGAAAATGTTGGAGTGAGTGAGTATGGTTTTACGCCGCTTTTAGCAATATTCCAGCAATATCACGGCGGGGGACACCAGAAATGGGCTTCACACATTGTACCCATGTCGGGAATCGAACCCGGGTCTTCGGCATGGTGAGCGAACGCTTTAACCACTAGGCTACCCGACCGCCCCTGAAAATGTTGGAAGAATGATTTTGGATGATAAATAGAATCTCATCCTCAAGTCTTTTAAATCAAACAAACTCGTTAATAAAAGTTTAAAACGTCTCAGCATTGATAATGCCTCCACAACAAGTCTAACTCATTGTCTAACAAGAGTTCTGGAACAATGGCAGAAAATGTCATGATGTCTCCATTTCAAGTGTCATGACCGGTCTCTAATTTGCCACCCATCCTCGTGAACAGCGTGTAACCATAGTAACCATTACCTCGCTTGTCCTGTCCCAGCTGCCGACACCAGGACACGGAGGTCGGGATGCTGGTGTGAAGGGAGAGAACTTTCACAACACGACAGTCTTCACTGAAACAACATGGAGTATCCACAGAGAGATGCTAACACAGAGAGACATCGTATTGGGAGTAAAACATCTGATTCTAATCAGCTGGATATTAATTATACCTGGATTATATATTCATTTTATTTAAAATACTCATGATGGCAGCCTCTAGAACAAATTCAGGCATCATTATTTGTGAAATTTCAGCTAAGTGTTTGATGGATGACGACATTCGCTGGCACCAGATGAGAGCCCTCGGTCCAGGCAGACCAGCTCAGGGGTCCTTGGGTCGTTGCTTATGCATAATGACCTCACCAAGAGTAATTATTTGTATAAAGATAATATTATCTATAGGCGTGCGGAAAATAGATGAAATTTTTTTCAGTAATTCTCAATGAGCAATATCATTTTTACTTCATGCTGATTGGCTAGTTCCTTCTAATTGTTCCATTGTTTTCATCGTTTGTGGAAAGAACCATGGCAATGTCGCATTATATGAATGTACTATTGCAAATAATAAAAGATGACTTCAGCCATTGTTCATGACGTCACATTTAATGTGGCATTGTTCCAACAACAGACTAAATGGCCTGATGTATCAAATGACCTAAAAAGAAAACGAGAAAGTCGCTGGCTTAAGTTCGGAACTTTAGTGAATTCACTCATGAAAGCCAATCAGCAATTCTCTGTATTTTGTAGGCTATTCTCTAATGACTTCTACATCAATAATCGCAAATAGTTTGAACCCACTGACGAGTTCCTGGAGTTTTACTTTTGTACAGAAATAGAGTGACATTGTGGATTTTCTTAGGAGTCTGACAAGGACCCCTCGACATTCATTCTTAACATTCAGCACTGCAATGATTGACAGCTGATTGTGTAGCTGGCATTACAAAGAGTAAAGCTACAAATATATTTTTCTGTTTTATCTCCCAGATTCATTATACTGAAGGTGAGTTGTGTTTAGCGCCGCTTTTAACAGTATTCCAGTTATATCGCGGCGTGAGGGGGCACGGGTGGCCAGTCGTCGCAATTTGCTGTGCAGAGTTGCGTCCCTTGGGCACGCCAGAAACCTATGATAGTGGGTTCGAATCCCGATTCGCCCCGATTATGTTTCTAGGTTTGTCAGCACCATACCCGTGCTCGTGGGTTTCACCGAAGTGGTAAACATCTGAGACCTGCATCACTTCGGGCTCTCCTCCCACAGTAAGCTGACACGCTGCGATATAACTGGAATACTGTTAAAAGTGGCGTTAAAACCCAACTCACTCACTCACTATATCACGGCGTGTCAGCTTAATGTGGGAGGAGAGCCCAAAGTGATGCAGGTCTCAGACGTTTACCACTTCGGTGAAACCCACGAGCATGGGTATGGTGCTGACAAACCTAGAAACATAATCGGGATTCGAACCCACAATCATTGGTTTAAGGCATTCCCAAGGGATGCAACTCTGCACAGCGAATTGCGACGCCTTAGGTGACTGGGCCACCCGTGCCCCCTTTACTGAAGGGTAAAGACTGGAAATCTTACGGGTGCAGACAGGGCAGGTGAACCTTCCACAACACAACGTCTCCATTCTTCATGCAGACGGCCAGCAGGGAGTAGGGGCCTTCACCCTGGCTGCCTTGGTAGCAGTCAGACCAAGAGAGTTCTGCAGAAGTAATGAATTAACACTTGAACTCAAAAAGAATTTTGGAAATGAGCAAGTTACTTGTTTTCATCTGCTATTGTTTTATCTAAATCAGAATACAGTCATACCCATCTAGCCTGATCTATAGTTTGTGTATGATGAACAGTAATGTGTTCAAAGCGTTGCAATAAAAGTTATACAGCATTGTGTACAAGATGCAACTGCTCACTGAATTACAGAGCTTTAGACAGGCCTAAAGTAACAAGTAGTCCCTGAAATATATTCATATATAGGTTAAAAAAAAAAAAATTCCATACCGGAACTCTTGATTCTCTTTTTGATTAAATCCTCCTTGGGGCACTTATTGCATTTTCCTTGCTCAAGAAAATCTACATGACATAGTTGTAACCATTTTCCTTAATAAAAAATGTTACCACACAAAAAACTTCGTTTTTGTATGATATACGACCACCCTTACGGGGCCTCACCCCCAACGGCGCCTCACGCCAGGGGGAGCAACTCTCACCCAAATCACTTTCCTTATGTCATCTTTAAGAGACAGACGTGTTGATTTTTCACACAAGACAAAAATAAGAGAAATCATAACCTCTACAGGTTTGTAAAAGTTTTTAAGGTACCCCAGAAAAATTCAAAAAGGAGTCCAACACAAGTCTAGAATGATTTGGCAAGTCTAGATTGCCCCAGCTCTGAAATTTAGGATTTTATTTTTTTCAATTAATAGACATACTTTTTAAAATAAGATAACTTTATTTTTTGGACTAAAAGTCAGTCTTTAAGTACCCTGAGTTGAGAATGGTATGAGTTTAGACTGATAGAGCCGAGAAGGGGGTGTGGGCGATTATTGATTAAATATAGGCACTGGGGTCTGTCCCATGGATGAAACTCTGGGACACACATTCCACCTACCCATAGCTGCCAACTTGTATGTCTGTCCCCGGAGTGCACTGAAGGTGAGGTCACCAGGAAGTGGATTGTTGGAGGCATACATTTGTGACAGATCCGCTACCTGTAACCATGGCAATGACAACTTGTACATCACAGGCATCCCAAAAGAACCCATTCCTAGTGAGTGAGTGAGTATGGTTTTACGCCGCTTTTAGCAATATTCCAGCAATATCACGGCTGGGGGACACCAGAAATGGGCTTCACACATTGTAAACATGTCGGGAATCGAACCTGGGTCTTTGGCGTGACGAGCGAACGCTTTAACCACTAGGCTACCCGACCGCCCCCCTGGTTCCTAGTGAGTGAACATGGTTTTACACTGATGTCAGTCCTGCAGCAATAAGATGCTGATACAATGGGCATGATGGGAACTGATGAAAAATTCCCAATTTCATCTACAGTAGAACATGGATATAACGAACTCAGATACAGCGAACAAACGGATACAATGAACTGTTAAAAAATCTCCGATTTATCTCCTATATAATACCATATTAAATTTACGTATATAACAAACTCTCTACAGCGAACAAACGGATACAGCGAACTGATATCTGATCACCGGCAAGCCCATCTATCACTAATTAGTGATGTGTATAGCGAACTGAGAAATCTCACTCAGTGTCAAGTGTCACTGACAATTGGCTGTACGCAATCAGCGGCGAATCAAAATCAAAATCACAGACTACACATCTCCTATGTAAATCGAAAAATGATAAATATGTTTACATTTTGTACATGTATTTGATAACAATCTTCAGAAAATGTTATCAATTTAATGTTAGTAAATGAATGTTATAAATTGTTATCAAATGAATGATCACTGTTAATACAAATCAATGCTGCAATTATGTGTATTGTGTTTTGTCTTATCCTAGATGGCGGACGTTTCCGAGCGAAAACGTGTATAATGAACAACGGATATAACAAACTGATTTCTCTGGTCCCTTGTAGTTCGCTATACCCATGTTCTACTGGAAATGGGGACTGAATACCAGTCACTAATCTAAGAGTTACTACACCACTGACTTATTTAATGTCGATGCATGGTAACTATGGAAACAAATTATAACTCCTCCTACCGTAGTCGACGTAATAGGCATCCTAGATGCTTAGAAAATTTATGATAATTAAAACCGAACACATTTTAAATTTGTTGTCAGTGGTGGAAGAGAACAGATTCAGTTCAAACGTCCATGAAACAAACTTAGCATCTTCCCGAGGCAAGGGGTTAAAAGTTCAGTTTCCACCCTTGTTGAACAAGGCTCGAATTTCGTGGCTTAAATGTAGTGTGACTAGTGGCTATTTCAAGTTATGTCACTTCTATTGACCAAACAGATTCCACGTATCACATTACTTGCATATACTTCAAACAAAGTGGTGGCGCCCTGTCAAATTCCAGGACAGTTTGGCAAACTGGGCTTCTATACTCAGCTGACTCCCTTGCCTCGGGAAGATGAAATGATAGTTACAATACCCCTTCTATACTCCTGTGTTTACTGTAAAAACATCTGTAACAAACACAAGACATATGGATGTTGTGTCAATTTTCACTGTCATTTGTGAGACGTAACAGAGCTCTAGATAAGCTGCGTATCTGCGTAAAATACGCATCAGAAATGCAGAAATACGCAGTAAAATAAAATCCAAGCGTATCAAATATGCAACGAACATTACAGATACGTTACCAAAATAAAACTTGTGCGTATCATCAAAATATTGTGAAGTAACCCTGTGTATTCGATTAGCAAATCAGAAACTTATTTTGAAATTATAAACGGGCATTCCGTCAGCCTTGCCAAACTCCACGATGACAGTTACATCATGATCATTTGCCATCACACTTTCTTGTGGAAGTATCGTGGTATTTTTGAGTCCTATAAAGCTCTCGAACCCACACAACACCAATTTGCAGGGACTAGGTGAGGTGAAATGGGGTTTAACGTCTCGTCCAAGATTATTGCACTTATATAGCGACGTGCATGCACGTGTATGTGTGTGTGGCTGCTTGTACTAGTCCGGACTGATGCCGATTTATAGTGCTAGCTCACTGAGATACCATGCCGCAGTTTAACATGAATACCCCACTCAGACACAGTATACTGACTCCGAGCCGACCAGTCCTTGTTTTAGCCCCTTGATGCCGAGCGCTAGACAGGGTAACAACAAGTACCATCTTTTAACGTCTTTTGGTATGACGCGGTCGGGGATCGAACCCCGGACCTTCCGCTCTCCGGGCGGACGCTCTACCATTAGACCACGGAGGCGGTCGTTTGCAGGGACTAGATGAATAGTGTTTTTAAATATTTAACTTAAATACCCACATGTGTAAAAACTAGTGGGTAACAGGAATTTGAATACCCAGATAGAATTACTGATACCCAGTGATTTTAAAATGCATGGGTAAAATACCCACAACACCAAAAGCTCATCTGGAGCTCTGCGTAAGCTGAGCACTCATTATAGCATTTGGTTGCTTCCCTCCATCTGGAACCAGGCCTCTGCTTGACTTGCTGGTTAGACATAGCGGCTACACCAAAACACCGACATATCTATTCATGGGGACGGAGGAATATAGGGTATTCAACATTGTAAAGTGTGGACGATGTAATCTCACCTTTTTCCACGTCTTCTTGGTATCTGATGTGGTGTGGATACACACCTGGTGGTCATGTGACACACTCGCCAACACACACCTGCAACGCAAACCAGACCAACATTTTCATTATATAGGGTGAGGTGAGGTGAAACGGGGTTTAACGTCGCGTCCAAGATTATTGCACTTATATAGCGACGTGCATGCACATGTGTAGTCTGCTTGTACTAGTCCGGACTGATGCCGATTTATAGTGCTAGCTCACTGAGATACCATGCCGCAGTTTAACATGAATACCCCACTCAGACACAGTTACTGACTCCAAGCCGACCAGTCCTTGTTTTAGCCCTTTAATGCCGAGCACCAGACAGGGTAACAACAAGTACCATCTTTTAACGTCTTTTGGTATGACGCGGCCGGGGATCGAACCCCGGACCTTCCGCTCTCCGGGCGGACCCTCTACCATCAGACCACGGAGGCGGTCTCATTATATAGAGAGATGTAGCAAAACACATCTAACATCTAACATTCCATTGTTACCACATTTTCTTATGTAGTGCACACTTGAGTATAATGACAACATACTAAGAGCAAGATTCTCATTGCCCAAATGAAATCATTCGCCATCAGTTCCCTTCAAGTAATAAATCACAATGCAGAATTTGAAATTAACAGAGGTCCTGGGGTTCTGCACAAATAATGATCTCCCCTCAATTTACCTGCTAAGGACAATTTGATTAAAATCTAGACAAATCCCTGTGGATGGTCCCCTCACCTGCCAGCTATGTCCCCTCCTGCGGGTGACCAGGACACCACCTTGTAGCCCTTGCTGGACGTCTGACAACCTGTCCTTGGACATAGTGTCCGGTCAAGCATCAGCTGATGGATTTCCTCTAGCAAAAGGCAATACAGAGGAGTGAGTGAGTGATTATGGTTTTATGCCACTTTAATCAATATTCCAGCAATGGAACACCAGAAATGGGCTTCACATAATGTACCCATGAAGATTCCGGGGTAGAATAGGTCTTCAGCAACCCATGCTTGCTGTAAAAGGCGACTATGCTTGTCGTTAAAGGCGACTAACGGGATCGGGTGGTCAGGCTCGCTGACTTGGTTGGTGCATGTCATCAATCCCAATTGCGTGGATCAATGCTCATGATGTCAATCACTGGATTGTCTGGTCCAGACTCGATTATTTACAGACCGCCGTCATATAGCTGGAAAATGCTGAGTGCGGCGTAAAACAACAAACCAACCAATCCATGTCGGGAATTAAACCCAGGTCTTTGGCGTCATGAGCTAAAACATTAACCACTGGGCTACCCCACACCTCAAAAGAGAGGAACATGATGGTACTACAGATTGGAGATTCTGATACACAGCTATACAGATATTAGTATAATGAAATGAAAAAGATATTGTGAGCATGAATTTTGGGGTATGTCAGCCTAGGGATATTGTCTTGACCTGACAAGAAGCTGATATTCCGCCCCAAATCTGTAGCAAAAGTAACAAATACCAGTAAAAAGTCCCAAGAAGGAAATAAATCACTTTTACTGATAACATGGTCAGTAAACATGATGAATAGGACTTAGTTTTAGATTACTGTTTATCTCATTTTCTGACATGGAAAAGTCGACTTTTTGTGAAATTTCAACTGTCAAATGACTGAGATAGACATTTATTTGGACAAAAAGTCAAATATCTTTTTTGATAAAAACTAATAAAAAAGTTGATAGGTGTCACAGGCACCAATCACTAACCTGTTTCCAAAGATTTGGAAAACTTCTCAAAATCAAAAGGCACAAAGCTGACAGCATCCTCTTTGGAAGGGGGGATATTGGAGTGAAGGAAATGGCAAGCTCCATCTACATGGGAGGGCCTGATAGAAAGTTCCTGGAAAACAAATGGTACAAATCAATTCCCCATAGGAGGTCATGTCGGGTAAACTTTCTAATCAGTCAATCAGCATTGAGGATTCTAAGTTTGCAGTATTATATGAGGGAGAGAGGAATTTAAACCAGCATATCTGATTTCTGTATCTCATAGACGAGCCAAAACAATAACTTCTAAAAGTAGAAAGTATAGTGCTGCCATAATATTGTTGTGCTTAGTTTAGGGTCCTGACAGTGATGCATTTAAAATTATTTTTTTTGGATTTATTATTTGCATATGCAGAGTTTGTGCATGAAGTTGTATGTATCATGTGTATAGGCCTTCTGAACATGTGTCACTGTGAGTCACATGCAATGGGTCTTAGCACTGAAGTTTGCAATTCTAAGCTGGTAATATACACTTGTATGCGTGCAACTACTCACTAATAGTTGCCATTTGATTATTTGCCATGTTCATGTTAATTCACAGGTCATTTCGATCTCCTGCTTAGGAGATGGGGAGCATTGCATTTTACTGGGTGCATCTTTTTCATTTCAATTAGCACCCCATGTCTAAGCTAGGCTAATGACCTAATCAAGGTAGCCAAAGGCGCTATGACAATATTATAAGTGGTCGTTTTTCTAGTGATCAGCATTCAGCACTTGAAAGTTTACCCTTATGCAAATGTAAGGGTGTGTAGACTTCGGGGTAACACACTAACACTAAGAATCAAAGAGGTGGCGAGATCCTCCGCTGACAGTCTGAGACAATGACGCTAAAAGCTGCGATCAGTAAACTGCAACATTGCAGCTGATCATCCAAATCATTCCAGGTTTGCAGCTGTCCCTGTGGATCGTGATGTGACAGATGTTCAGATTAACAATGACATTATTTCCGAAATGATTACCAATAAAAACAATCCCCCGTCCGTTGCAATGGCCAATCTGTTGTCGTCTGACCACGCAACCGCGTTGCAGGCAGTAATATTTGAAGGAAATGTAGCTACAAAGGTTCCCGCGACCGCCATGTTTGAAACAAACTCGACAATGTTAAGAGAGAAGAAATATGATTGGTTGAATGTGGATCAATTATCCAATAATAATTCCGTATGCATATCGAGCCCATGTTGTTTCTATTGTATCTTTTTATTGGTTAATAGGCCCGATTTTACACCAATCACGTCGTTCGTTTCAAGTACTTCTCATATGTAAACTTCAACACGTGTTGTCGTTCATAATAAATACTGAACAGAAGCAATGCCATTTAAATTCAATTTTTCGACCCCTTCAGATGACACGATCGATGACGAGGGTAAATACATGACTTGTTCTTTTAGTTATTCATTCATTTCTAGTAGTGACAAAGACTGAATTATTGTAATCGCCATCGATCGTTGCAAAGTGAACAAAATACTCACTCATTGACGAAATTACTTAGACACGATCGACAGTCGACACCTTCCGATATATGTCGATTCGAATATAGCCAAGAAGGTTGGCCTTCATTGTGTATATAGCATTCCTAATATAAATTACAATGATGCATAGTTAATCAAGTCCTGATTATCCTATTTTACGACAAATACAACATATATATATACCGTATTCGACGTAATAAGCGCCCAGCTCTAATAAGCGCCCACGGCGAGATTTGCTGATATATATTGACTAGTGAACAATCCTAATTAGCACCCCTTCCGACCCCTATTCGCATATAATACCCACCGCTTCCTTCCCCTATTCACATATAATACCCACTCGTGTGTTATATGCGCACTTTAATATTGGCAATTAAATTCTGGAAACATATATCTGTCGCAAATAAACATTTCAGGCTGTCAGCATAAACCACGAAATTTATCTTTCAACTCTGTTTTTTTCACCAAAATAATATTCTAATAAGAGCCCCCTATTTCTGATTTTGAGAGTGTCCTGAGCGCTTATTACATCGAATAGGGTAACAATCTGGCCATGGTTATCTCCAGCATCTCCGTGAAGATATGGGACTGGAGTCACATATCCACCGATGCTGGGAAAGATTAGTTTAGGATGACCGAAAAGGCTGAAAATTGCCAAAATTGCGAGATACCCGAAGGGGCGTCAGATGATCATCTGTGAGCATTGGCCATGTTTTTGACATCGGGGAGACCCCGGTGGACACATCGGTAGAAAATACCTCTTGAGTTATTTTCTTGTGGTTGCTGGTGGTCCACACCCCCATCGGTAATGGATCTGGTACACATCTTCCGGCAGCCCACCAGTGACCCTCCAGGCACCTGCCAGACCGCAAGGGTGCAGCGCGTGGGTGTGGTATGGTCATCGGAGGATAGCTGAAAGGTCATCTGCCGGGAATCGGTCAATACTCAAAATGTTTCCCTCCGGTAACTGGATGATTAAGCCAAGTCATAAGGTGACCAACTGGAGTCCGGGCAAGCATCGAGTGGGTATCATTCATCGGACACCGGGAATGTTGACGTGCCTGTTCCAGAGTATATATAATGGGCTGAATGGGATGAGCAGCATAGAATGTCTTCACTCACACTGAGTACGCTAGAGCCCGAAGCTCCCTATGCCTTTCAACTCTTCATCTCCGAATTTTCAGACTCCACAAATCTACAAAACCAACTGAAATGTGATTCAGTTCTTGCAGCAATTTCCACGTCAAACACGAATGGGCTCCTTTTATAGCGAGCAGGACACAGGCGGTGTTCATCCAGGCATTGGCCGGTGCCAAGATGGGCATTGCACGTTCTGGTTTACACCGGACAAGCACCATCCGGGTATCGGGTGATTAACGGGCGATTCCCGCCAGATGACCGGTCAGTCACTGGACGGTATAAGCCTACCATTTTTTCCAAAATCCTTCGAACATCATCTTTGGTTTCATGACTACTGCACCGATGTGTCACAGATGTGGGCAAAAATCGGTTGCACACCGAAACCCACCGATGCCCCTACATGGTCCGGCGACCGTTGTATATGTGACTGAGGCATTAGAATTGGTCTGCAGCAACCCATGCTTTCATGTTGTCAAGCTCACTGACTTTTTTATGTATATCATCTTATCCTTATTGCTAAGATCGGTGCTCATGATATCAATCACTGGATTGTTAGGTCCAGACTTGATTATTTAAGTCTCTTATTATATAGCTGGAATACTGCTGAGTGTGCTGTTTATGAAGAAACTAATAATTACCTGCTAAGTGCACAGAGACAATATCTTAATTTTACACAACTTCACTCAATTTACAAAGTCTCCACCAAAATTGAATTATGCTCCAGACTATTGAGGACAGTTCTTATTAATAAAATTTTTAAAAATTTTTTTTTCTGTATATAGCACTTTACTGCATTTGTTCTTAAGAACTGTCATATATTTGAATAAGTTTTGCAAATGTGTTGCATTTATTCCATGGTTTAGAAGTATATCTTGTTTCAAACCGATGTCATTACAACTTAACTATTGAATGTATTGCAGATTAATATAAAATTAATGAAGTTTAAACTGTTAATAATATGCTTCTTTCAAATCAAGAAATCCTCTGAATGTTTAATCTGTATGTCTCTGGTGATAATATCCTTTATTAAACTCAAACCCTCCCACTTGTTAGGGTGTGCAACATTACCAAAATGAACATGTTATGTAACATGGAAAGCATGCAACGATATATTAGAAATAGGGGGCTCTTATTAGAATATAATTTTGGTGAGGAAAAAAACAGAGTTGAAAGATCGTAAATTGTGTGGTTTATGCTGGCAGCCTGAAATGATACAAAAGAAAAGTCTGTGCGTATTATACATGACAGATATATTTTCCAGAATTTAATTGCCCATAATTAAGGGAGCATATAACACACAAATGCGTATTATACACAAATAATTAAGTCATGTGTACATTGATCAATCGGAACGGGTGCTAATTGGGATTGTTCACAGGCCAAAATATTAGCAAATATCTGAGTGGGGCTCTTATTACAACGATATAACATGATATAATTGTGTCGTAAGCTGTGGGTCAAACTATAAAATGTTAATATAGTAATTATAAATAGACTGTTTTGCCTCATTTTTAGCTCATGGAGAACATGCTGATAACTTTGTCTCTGATGACGACGATACTAAAGCTCTCCCTTCACAAGAAATCTCACGGAACCCAGAACAGGTAAGTCCTGGCATTGGTTGAAGAAGTCAACAGTTGGAAATAATCACCAGCTGTTAATCATGCCTTTCTGGGAGGTCACTCTGACCTTCTTCTGCCAAGGAACATACGAACCATCTGCTAACTGCACGATGCCTCCTGTGACAATTAATGTTGTGTGTGGGGGGGATTATAAGGCCATGGAGAGAACATCTCCCTACTGTACATTTTTATGAATCACTGTGAAAAAGGCATTTTAATACCACAGACAACTGAATATGAAGATTGTTCAATTCATGTAAATAAGCTTGAACCGAAATGTTGCATTGAATTAATAAAGAAGGTGAGATTCACTTTCTTGATGAAGGTACTAACATCGGTACATGCTGTACCCAAATGTCGCGTTGAAAGAAAACTAAGTTGAACCTAGGGCTGGGACGAGTCCAAATATACGACCCGGGTACCAACACCCCTATTACCCGACCCTACCGAGGTACAGGCTGTAGGTCTCAATTAAGAGATTGGTACAAAATGTCCAACTGGGAATACATGTACAGTCAAGTCTCGTTAATCCGACATCGTTGGTTGCACATGATTGTGTCGGATTAACGAGTATGTCGGATTAACGAAATTAAGTGATTTGTGATCGAAAATCGGACATCTTCACGATAGATAATAACCGTGTGTTTCCTCGTGTAAATGCAAGTGCTACTGTCTTAACAACTTGCTTCATCTACTTAAAATAGTCTGTCAGTGTTTTCTGTTTCTCACATTTTGAAGGCACATTTCTCAAAGTCCCCTGTTGGCTTGACGTCTAGGGCTGGTGGTTCTTCAGCATCAACATTGTCGAGGTGTAATTTCATTTGTTTCTTATAATAAAGCTTGAAATTCTCTATGATCCCGGCATCTAGTGTTAATTGTTAAAGTTAATCTCTGCAGCCGGTGCATGTCAAAACACGGGGTTGTGTACTCGCAGGCAGATGACCACGGAGTATGCTGACCACTGTGTCGGATTAACGAGACTGATTAATGAGTGATTTCAGTAATTCGTTGCAAATTAGGTGTGTCGGAGTCGGAGTGCGAGAATGTCGGATTAACGGGACTAAATAGCGCTGAATCAATCGGTTCCCATCATTTGTGTCGGATAAAGCCGAGTGTCGGATTAACGAGTGTCGGATTAACGAGACTTCACTGTAGTTTGACTGTACCCATGGAAAAATGTATTCAGATGTACACTTCTTAATTAAAACGATCTGGTTATTCCTACGGTGAAGTTGACAGAAGTTTTATCTTTATTCAAGCATTAAAGTCAGAGAGAATGTGTGCACAGTCAGAAAGAAATGTGAACATTAGTGACTTGTTGTGTAACCATGGAGTAACCATAATCTTTGTCATTAAACAATATATCATGGTTCCGGGTAGTCCTGTATGTACCTGGGTCCTACTCAGTACCCACCTGACCCGAGTACCCGATTGCGAGTTACCCATCCCAGCCCTAGTTGAAACCCATTTGTCAATGTGATCTTCCTTGATATTACAGTTTCCAAAATGGCAGTTAAAGATACTTCCATAGTCCAACCATGATTCTGCCCAGAAAACAATGACAAGATGATGCCGCTGACTATATTATCACAAATCCATTCACAAACTCACTCAAATCATGAGAGAAGTTTACAATTTGTGTTTTCAGAATGTCAGTGATATGAGTACAATTGAACACAACATATGTGGTGCTGTATTTCGAGTGATCCGTCAACAAGATGTCAATGACAGCAGCTCGGCGCTCCAAGTTACAGCCGATTCTGATCTTGTTCCTGGTGTTTATGAAGGTAACCATAGCAACCAAAACATACTAATGTCTTCAATAAGCAAGATATCAATGTAAGCATGACTGATTAACTTTATGATGTGAAAAAGATCGGGTGCTCCTTAACTTCTTTTGAGTAGTATATAATCAGTCTCAGAGCTGTGAGGAAGCTAGGGATTTACCTTGGTTTGTCCAGGGAACAACTTTAAATTAAATTTGGGGACCAAGGCAAGATTGTTGGGGCCACAGACTGGTGCATTTTCAAGACTTTAATTGATCCCATATAAATGCACCTGCTCAGAAGCCTTAGGCCTGTTATAGATGGGAATTTCATTGTCAGATTGAAGAAAGTCAACCACTGACACTGCTAGTATACCAGTTATATCATGGCGAGTCAGCTTGATGTGGGAGAAAAGCCCAAAGTGATACAGGTTTCAGATTTTTCCCACATTGGTAAAACCCATGAGCATGGGGGTAACCGGGACCTTTCAAGGAAGGATGGGGGTACAGTTGTCAGTAATGTAAAGATATCACATGTAATCCTGTCATCATTACCTACCTGACTAAGAATAGGAATTATTTACCCTACAATATAAGAAAGCTATGCGATACATCACAATGAAGAAGGAAGCGTGGTTTACTTCACGATAAAACATTGATCTATCATGACGTCATTTCTGGAGATTCGAACATGCACTCACAACTTGATGATGTCGTAATTTTGAGAGGGAAGTGTCAAGTGAGTTGTTCCCCATAGATGTAGCTGTACAGCGCAGATGAGGTAATGGCTGAACGATCGCATTCAAAAGCGTGAGAGAAATGACAATCGGAATTGGGAGAAAAGGTCCAAATAATCAACATGAAAATTGTGAGAATATCTGAGAAATACCAAACTTAACGCCCCTCTTTATAAAATAGACTTGTCCGACATTGCCAAGGTCAGATTTTATTCTGGGAGTCATCGTTATTGAAAATAGAAAAATATTTTTAAACCTTTTACATTTTATTAAGATCCTTAATAGGCTGTACAAAATGTTGATATCTCATATAAGAAATAAATGACTTTGTTGTATGAGGTGCTACTATTTGCTATGCAGAGTTGCATCCCTTAGCTGTGTCAGGATTGGCTGAACGTTGTTTGGAGTACCTGTTTTGCTTGATGCTGATCCTTGGTTTGCCAGCACCCATGCTCGTTGGTTTCACCCAAATTGTAAATCTCTAAGACCCGAGTTCCTTTGGACTTTCCTTCACACGAGCATCGACTCTGTGGTGCAACTGCAATACTGACAGAAGTGACGTGAAGCCAGTCTCTCACTCTCGCGGGCGGTCGGGTAGCCTAGTGGTTAAAGCGTTCGCTCGTCACGCCGAAGACCCGGGTTCGATTCCCGACATGGTTACAATGTGTGAAGCCCATTTCTGGTGTCCCCCTCCGTGAAACTGCTGGAATATTGCTAAAAGCGGCTTAAAACCATACACACTCACTCACTCACTCACTCACTCACTCACTCTCACTCTCACTGTTTCAGGTGGCCTGAAGATATGGGAGTGTGGTGTAGATTTAGCCGAGTTTCTCATCAATCACAATATTGACTGTAAAGGGTTACGTGTTTTAGAGGTAAGAGCTGGTGAAGTCTTTGATTGGCATCAGAAGTTGGGAGGTAATGTGAGGTGGAAAAGGCTTTAATGTCGCATTTAAAATTGTTTCACTCATATCACATATCCATGTGTGTGTATATGGCTGTTTGTACTAGTCCAGACGTACGCCAATTTTATAGTCCGAAGGTTTCTTTGGCATTGGTGTGTCACTTTTAAATTTAGCGAGCCATTGTTTTTCCTTGAATAAAATATTTAAAAAAAATTCTTACAAAGCAGACAACTAACATTGTGTTACAAGAGCCAATTTCAATGAGTGACCAGTTGTGTTTGTCTTGGTTGGAAAATGATAAAGTGTTCCTCCGTCATCATTTTCTTCTCAATATTAAATGAACAAAAGTCCTTCTCACTTTTGAGAAAAAAGTGCCTGAGAAACGTAGTTTTTTATGCAACCTAGCCCGCTGAGATACCAAGCATTTGGTTATTTGGGTATTTTACCCATAGGTTTAATTTTGATTGGGTATCCAGAAGTTTTTTTATACCCACCTATTTCTTGACATTTGGGTATTTCACTTAAGACCTGTTTTGTAACAATCCCTGGGAATCATTTGAAACTATGTGAATAGAAGTGTACCCGTCTGCGTCTGCTTGTGAGGAATTGTAAGAAAGGTGCTATTGTTTTAGTTACCAATCAGCAACTAATATGGGTACACCATGTACATTGACTAAGCACAATGTGCTTTTCATTTGGCATCTATCAGTATGTTGGTCGCAGGAGCTTTTCCAAATGTAACTGTCGGTAAGTGAATTTGGCGATCGGCTGATACACAATCATTTTGTCTTACCGTTGAAATATATGCAATCATTTTGTCTACTATTTGCATGATTTGTAATATACACATTAATTTTATTTCAATAGCTGATTTATAGTTTTTGTTGCGAATTTGATATGCTAGGAGACCCGTGAAGATTCCGGGGTAGAATAGGTCTTCAGCAACCCATGCTTGTCGTAAAAGGTGACTATGCTTGTCGCAAAAGGCGACTAACGGGATCAGGTGGTCAGGCTCACTGACATGGTTGATGCATGTCATCGATCCCAATTGCATGGATCGATGCTCATCATATCAATCACTGGATTGTCTGGTCCAGACTCGATTATTTACAGACCGCCGTCAGCCATCAGCTGGAATATTGCTGAGTGCGGCGTTAAACAACAAACAAACCAACCAACCAAATGATATGCTAGGATTTAATTTTTCCTCATATTTCAGTTTATTTCATGCATATTTTACGCAAGTATGCAGCTTATCTCGAGCTCTGGTCTAAGGACTGCATCACTTTCCTCCGTTCTAGCTTGCACACTGTGCTATAACTGAAATACTATATATTGCAAGTGGTGTTAAACCCAACTCTCTCAATCATTTAGAGTGTGTGGTCATAGATTGGTGTTCTCAAATCATCAGGAAGATGTAACAGAGTAAGATGTCTGATCTTCACAAGATTCTGTGTGTAGCAGACTGAGGTTATATTTCCTGGCTGTGTTTCAGCTGGGCTGTGGAGCGGGACTACCAGGACTCACGGCCATGCACAAGGAAGCGGCCGAGGTCCACTTTCAGGATTACGTAAGTGGAGGGAATATTTCCCCCAGGGGCATGTGTGTCGGGGAAATAGTTTTGAGAAATTCTCAACGAGCATAATAGTCTTTGCCTCATGCTGATTGCTAGTTCACAATGTGACATGTCAGTGCTTTGTTGCAAATAGTTGAAGATGACGTCCTCAGATGTTTTTATCCTATTACCGTATTTACCCTATTAGAACCCTGTTCCAATAAACACCCCTGACGGAGTTGTGCACTTATTAAAACCGCAATCCGCAATATTCCAGGTGTATGACAGCGGCCTGTAAATAATCAAACCTGGACCAGACAGTCCAGTGATTGATATAGTGAGCAGTGATCCAAACTGTATGAGAACGTGCTATCTACCAAGTCACTGAGGCTGACCACTCGATCCATTTGGTTGCCTAGCATCAGTTGCTAGGGACCTAGTCTAACCAGGACTTGACATTATATGAAAAGGAGATTTTGACCCTAATGTTTTACATATCGTAAATATCACATATTAGGAATAAAAATTGTATTATACTTGATAACAATTGCTTATGCACCACACGTCAATACCAGATAATGTAAAACGCGACTAACGGGATCGGGTGGTCAGGCTCGCTGACTTGGTTGATACATGTCATCGATCCCAATTGCGTAGATCAATGCTCATGATGTCAATCACTGGATTGTCTGGTCCAGACTCGATTATTTTACAGACCGCCGTCATATAGCTGGAATATTGCTGAGTGCGGCGTTAAACAACAATCAATCAATCAATCAATCTTGTAAAAGAGAATAGTATGTTTTACCTTACCTGATGCTACACCTATAGCACTGTGTAGCGTCAGGGAAGTATAAAGACATTGCATTTAATCAGAAATGCTCATTTCTTACTGATTTTGTGGATTTAGTAAAGGTTGCTAAGCATAATACTGTTTCCTGTCCACTTTAAGTTTGTTTGTTTGTTTGTTGTTTAACCCTGCACTCACAAATATTCCAGCTATATGACGACAGTCTGTAAATAATCAAGTCTGGACCAGACAATCCAGTGTTTTAGATCATGAGCATCGAACTACCCAATTGGGATACAATGACATGCATCAACCAAGTCAGCGAGCCTGACCACCTGATAATGTTAGTCCCCTCTTATGACAAGCATAGTCGCTTTTTACAGCAAGCATGCATATGGGTTGCTGGAGACCTTTTCTAGCCATAGTTATTTACTATGAATAACATAGTAAATGAACATGGACTCTCGTCATGGTTATTGGACAGTAACCTGATGTTAGCATGTCTGTGTAGCTGCCATAAAATTTCTGAGTCCCGTGATTGGATTCGAACCACGGACCTTCTGATCCGAGGTCGGACGCCTTGTCCACATGACCAAAAAGGTTAACCCTGTCAGCAAGCTGACAAGGTAAGGATGTCATCTGTGGGATGACTCCACGCCCCCTGCTACATCTGCATCATAGTGAGTGAGTATTTGTAAGAAGGTCTATCTTCTAGTAGGCACTGTCAGGTGTTGTGCAACTACCAATGGTTAAAAGTTTTAACTTAAAACTGGAGAATTCCAGGGTGTGTTCAGGTGAGCTATATTTTCTGTTCTCTGGGAACTGAGAGGAAGGAGAGATGAGAGATTAGTATGAGTCAGGATAAGGTAAAATCATACAAGTCAAGTACATATGATATAGTGTTGTGTGATGGTCAGGGTGAACCAGGATTTGAACCCACAATCATAGGTTTCTGGCATGTCCAAGGAACGTAACTCTGCACAGGGAATTTCAAAGCAATAGATGACTGGGCCAGTCATGCTCCCAGTGATAGCAATCTAGACTTCATTGTATGTACGTCTGAACTGATTTCTTGTTGTTGCAGAACCCTGAAGTGGTTGAAAATATCACAATTCCAAATGTTGCACTTAATCAGTGTTCACACTGCAAGTGTCGATTCTTTTCTGGAGACTGGAGTTCTCTCCCCTCAACCATCTGTACCGAGGATGAAGCAAAACGGTGAGTTGATGCAGTTTTATGGTTCATTTTGTTACCAGGGTGACCTCTGGTTGCACAGTTGGAACTTTTGACTGAAATCATCTAAGCTGTTAGATCACAGTTATGCAGGAATGCCGTACAAAAGGTTTGATATCATGTTTCATCACAGACTTTTGTAGAAATCAGCAGAGTATAAGGATTCTGGTCTGAAAGGAGACCAGCCTCCTGTAGTCTCAAACATCACGTCACTCCGAAGACCCGGGTTTGATTCCCGACATGGGTACAATGTGTGAAGCCCATTTCTGGTGCCCCCCGCCGTGATATTGCTGGAATATTGCCAAAAGCGGCGTAGAGCTACTCACTCACTCACTCACTCACTCTCTCATTTTAGGGAAGGGACATTTGATATTAGGATTTTTAAAAATATATCTTGTGTTCTCAAAAATGCTGCACCCGTGAAGATCCGGGGTAGAATAGGTCTTCAGCAACCATTATTCCTAGCCTCTCTGTGTTCCAGGTATGACATGATTCTCACAGCGGAGACAATCTACAACACCAGGAACTACAGCAAGCTTCACCAGGCGTTCCAGCACCTCCTCAAGCAGAGTGGAACTATGTATCCACAATCAGCTGATGTTTCATATGAAACCCTCTATAAAGAGGTTTTATGTTCCAGTCTGGTGCTCATGCCCATGTCTAGACAGTTACAACCCTGTGTGAATATCAGAAATTGTCTCATTCGTCACCACTCGCCCCTTTCTGTCACCTGTAAGACTCGTCCCCCTATCGATGAATGTTATGTGCGAAAATATGACAAACCAAACAGAATGCGGGTATGATTTCAAGTTCTTTGTCAATGAATCCCTCAGAAATAATTTTTGATTTTACATATGTCTTGCATCTAAAAATATACCAAGGACACAGTTAAATGTGTTCAATCAAACTGTATAATTCCTCACGTCCCAGTGTGCTTTAAATTGCATCTGAAATATATATATAATACATGGGGAAATAATATATGGACCATTACGCAACGAGTCGACAATTGTTTTAGGTATGCCCGTTTGCGCTAAGACGGAACTTGGTCGCAAAAATGGCCATGAGAGGGGCACGAGTCGCTATTCGGCTTGTCCCGGAATAACACGAGTTGGTCACGAATGAAATTGTCAGTGTGTAATCATTACAAACCACTAGTCCCAATCTCCCTGAGGCAACTAACTGTAACAGTTTCCATCCTTGCGGAACGAGGCTGGAATTTCTGGGCTCAATCTCAGTGCCACCAGTAGCTATTTTGAGTTAAGTCCCTTCTATGTCCTGCCTACTGACCAATCAGATTCCACCTATCATATCACTTGCAATTGCTTCAAATAAAATGGCATTGCCCAATGAAGACGATCTGGTCAATAATCAAGATCTATATTGTGATAAAAAGGGTCTTACTTTGTGAAGTGCATCAAATCACATGAGCACCTTGATCAAAAACATGGAAAGATTTGGAAAATATCTGTTGACGCTAAGTATTCGGTAGACATGCTTTGCAAATCCTGCAATCAACCAAAGTCTGCATGGCAGTTTACGAAGCGGATGTCGATTTCGTTACGCGATTTTGATTGGACTATGCATAGACTCATTCCAGCCAAAATATAACTTGGTTTGGCAAGGGTTGAAACTGGACTTTGATGGTCGATTACCTCCCTTGCCTTGGGAAGCTGCTACTTGCAGAGTCATTAGCAAAGATCCAGAGTTGGGACTCAGACCAGTACAAGATGGGTGAAAACATAATGTAAGATGTGGTGAGATGTCTGCGAGGGGAAATGTCCTACACTCAACATAGTGCATATGAGTGAGTGAGTATGGTTTTACGCCGCTTTTAGCATTGTTCCAGAAATATCACGGCGGGGGACACCAGAAATAGGCTTCACACATTGTACCCATGTCGGGAATCGAACCCGGGTCTTTTGGCATGACGAGCGAACGCCTTAACCACTAGGCTACCCGACCGCCCCTATGAACATTGTTCAAACTTAAATTGGGGATCCTCGTGTCCATGAGGGTTTTCTGCTGTAGTATTTGAATCTAGAGCATTCCTAATCGTTATTTGTTATCAGTTTTATGACATGGATCCTTTGATTTTCATGCTTATTTTCAAACATTGAAAAAGTATTTTAACGATGAACTGTGCAATTATGTTATGAAGCTGCTATTTCCTGAATGCTATCCAGCTACCTAGCAGCCAAGTCGACCTACTTTGGTGTTGGAGGTGGAACCCGACTGTTTGAGACATTTCTCAAGAGGGGGAATGTCTTCACGAGCCAGGTGTGTCTGGAGATACAAGCAGGTGAGAACACAATCTGCATTGTTTGTCAAGCAGGTGAGAACATAAGTAGTATTGTTTATCAAGCAGGTGAGAACATAAGTAGTATTGTTTGTCAAGCAGGTGAGAACATAAGTAGTATTGTTTGTCAAGCAGGTGAGAACACAGGTAGTATTGTTTGTCAAGCAGGTGAGAACAACATCAGCATTGATTGTCAAGCAGGTGACAACACAATCTGCATTTTTTGTCAAGCAGGTGAGAACACAATCAGCATTGTTTGTCAAGCAGGTGAGAACACAATCTGCATTTTTTGTCAAGCAGGTGAGAACACAGGTAGTATTGTTTGTCAAGCAGGTAAGAACACAATCAGCATTGTTTGTCAAGCAGGTGAGAACACAGGTAGTATTGTTTGTCAAGCAGGTAAGAACACAATCTGCATTTTTTGTCAAGCAGGTGAGAACACAGGTAGTATTGTTTGTCAAGCAGGTGAAAACACATTCAGCATTGTTCGCCAAGCAGGTGGGAACACAAGTGAGAACATGAAGTTTTATCTTTATTCAAACATATAAAAGTCAGAAGTGATGTATGCATAGTCAGAAAGATATGTGAACACTTGTCACTTATAGTGTAACCATAGAGTTCTAGATAATTTTTGCCATTAAACAATATCATCACGTGACTAACCACAGTCTGGGTAGTCCTGTGGGTACCCGGGTCCTACTCAGTACCCTTCTGACCCGAGTACCTGGGTTATGGGGCTGGAATGTCATTTTTGTAAACAATATATCACATAATTAACCACGGGTCCAGGTAGTCCTGTGGGTATACCTGGGTCCTACTCAGTACCCACCCACCCTGGGTACCCTCGTGACCTGTCCCAGCCCTAGTATAGTATGGGCAAGTAAGACCTTAGTATCAGAATGAGCAGTTGTGAACTTTAGACAGTAGCTGTTATGACTCCCAAGTTTTTCTTTTCCTATATTTACTGGGAGATGTCATGAGTAAAGAATGACAGGAAATACAAGGATAAATTCAACAATTTTGTATTTATTACATCTACGATTTCAACATTTCTTTACAGGTGTGCCAAGGGAGATCTTAAAGGTGACAAGACAGACATCGTGACATCATCCTGCCATTGTTGTACATATTGTATCATCGAGTACATAGAGCAAGCATTGTACATAACACAAATACTCTTGCAGATAAATCTGTCTTGAATCATACTGAATGTATTCTTAATCTGTAGCGCACAAGTCTCATGAAATCAGATCTGATTGCTTGCTGCCTCTTCACACAGATCTGAGGACATCCCATTACAGGTCATGTCGGAACAACCTTTCGCAAACTTTGACCGACCAATGAAATGACTAACAGGCAGTTGCCATTTGCCAATCAGAAAGTAGTTTTCTCAGGGACTTATCTAGACCTGCCCAGAGGCCGATATTCGGCCCCAAGATTGCAGCAAATGTCAGTAAAAAAATTCAACTTGAATTAAAAATTCCCCAGTTCCTCAGAATTTACAAAAATAAGATCATTAATAACATCCAATTTAGAGGGGGCACGGGTGGCCCAGTCATCTAAGGCGTTGTGATTCATTGTGCAGAGTTGCATCCCTTGGGCACGCCGGGAACCTATGATTGTGGGTTCGAATCCCGGTTTGCCCCGATTATGTTTCTAGGTTTGTCAGCCCCATACCCTTGCTCGTGGGTTTCACCGAAGTGGTAAACGTCTGAGACCTGCATCACTTTGGGCTTTCCTCCCACATTAAGCTGACACGCTGCGATATAACTGGCGTTATAACCTGGCGTTATACTGTTAAAAGCGGCGTTAAACCCAACTCGCTCACTCCAATTTGGAACATCACAGTATTTTCCCAATTTGCCTGCCAAGGGCAGAGTTTGGAATCCTAGATGAATCTGTTTCTGAAGCTTCATACCACAAGATTCCAAACATGAAACTGAACAACAGTAACTTGTTACATACAAAAGCTGGTTGAGATTGTATGGCAGTGCTTCCCACAGGCTATGAAGCTGACACGCCGCGATATAACTGGAATACTGTTAAAAGCGGCGTTAAACCCAACTCACTCACCCACAGGCTATGAAAAGTCTCTTCCGATTCCAATGTTTATAGAGATTGACAGAGATTTTGACCGAAACTGTGGTACAGGCCATAACTGTCGGTTGGAATACCCCGTGTTAGCCTTTTCAAGGTTGCATGATTAGTAACCACATTCCAACGGTCGCTCTACCAAACTGGTAAGCAATGCTCCGCTGAAAGGTCGTTCTGACCCGTAATGGGATGTCCTCTGATCTTTGTTTAGCAGTAGGATGAGATTGGTCATGGCCTGGTTTGTTGTCCATCTTTGTTGTTGGCACCTGGAAACTGAGGAGGTTTTGTTTGTTTGTTTGTTGTTTAATTCCACTCAGCAATATTCCTTCTATATGACAGCAGTCTGTAAATTGACATCATAAGCATTGATCCACGCAATTGGAATATGATGACACTACACGGCAGCATTCAATACAGATAAGAGTGAATGAGTGAGTTCAAATTTTACATCGCATTGGCAATATTGCAGCCATATGAGATAGTTATTATTAAACACCTGTTGACAAAGATCAGTGAAGCTTTTATTTGTTAGTTTGTTTGTTGTTTAACGCCGCACTCTGCAATATTCCAGCTATAGGACGGCGGTCTGTAAATAATCGATTCTGAACCAGACATCGTGAGCATCGATTGGAATACGATGACATGCATAACCAAGTCAGCAACCCTGACCACCCGATCCTATTAGTCGCCTCTAACGACAAGCAGAGGTTCCTTTTATGGCAAGCATGGGTTGCTAAAGACCTTTTCTAACCCGGATCTTCACAGGTAAACCTGAGGAAAACCACTGGATCATTGAGGCGGAACATCACATGTTTGTCTCTTCTAATGGTGACACCTGGATTCGTGAAAGAGGTTCAAGTCAAAGCCTATCGTGTGGTACATTGTTCGTACCCTGCCTGTCAGTTGTTTTGATTGTTGGACAAGAAGTCAAAATGGACAGACAACTGACAATGTACCTTGCAGTAAGGTATTGGGACATCCAGTCCATGTGAGTTATAGGTATTGTTACAGAGAAGAGGTAGTTTAAATGAATAAGGAATCAACCATTTAATATTCCTGGAAGGGGTGTGTTTTTGAGACAAAAAGCAACAAATACTAAATGTTTTTGCATATCAATATTCTTTCAGGACAATGTCCAGCAATGTCTTTTTTTTATAGGTATTACTTAGAACTTGATGGACAAAGCTAAGACAATTTTATTGATGATAACTTCTTTTGATACTGTAAAGGTGACGTTTCGCCTTTTGTCTTTCAGTCTTGCTTGACAACAGTATAAGGATCTATACCGAAACGTCGCCTTTACAGTATTAAAAGAAGTTGTTATCCCTAAAATTGTGTCTACTTCAACATGTTTTTTGTAAAACCCGAGGCAAAATACTTTTTTTTTCCAATGCATCTCCAGAATATCAAATGTTAAGTCCCCAAGTTGACAATTTATTGAGACTTATTCTCACATCGGAGGTGACTTGTGGTTCGTGAACTATCATCATCTTCAGAGCACTATTTCTGTTCCTGTGAATGATGCCCCATCATGCCCCAGACACAGCGCGTGAGATGAGTCCGAACCAATCTTGCACACATGAACTTTGGTTTCCCCCTGTGTTGTCACAACAATATCCCGTGCAGTCTCAATCTTCAGCTGGACGCCTCCAGTAACGTCGTACGGAGACGCAGATGTTGATATTGTTGTCTGTCCATCCCTTTCTTCAGGACACGTCCGTATCACGCCATCAGTGACGTCAGATGAAGATGTACCAATCGCGAGAGGTCTATGTTTATTTACCCCAATACATGGCAGTAAAACAGCTCCTGTTATAACAAACATGACAAACCTTTTATGATAAGAAAGAAGACAAGGTCATCTATTTCCCCAGCCCATTGTCCAGTCTTAAAGATGGTCTGTGCATTCAAATGTGACATTGTTATTATCAGTTTGTCCACCTGCTTGTGGAAGAGGTTGAATACAAGAGCTTCTGTATAACACCTCTTTGTACAAATATCTGCTTTCGTAAGACAGTTATGATAATTAAGGTTATAATCATCTAGTATTTGAGGGGCGGTCGGGTAGCCTAGTGGTTAAAGCATTCGCTCGTCACGCCAAAGACCCGGGTTCGATTCCCGACAAGGGTACAATGTGTGAAGCCCATTTCTGGTGTCCCTCGCCGTGATATTGCTGGAATATTGCTTAAAACACATCAAACCATACTCACTCACTCACTCACTCACATTTTTGTGGATCCTTGAGCACTGCACAATTCACTCAGTAAGATATCATGAATTGTATTGTAGAGCAGTGTATTGTTGCAGCCCTACCCTTTACAGGTAGTTACCAGAGGAAGGTACAAGGTACAGATAAGGTAGAAAACACATACCTGTCTGGTCTGGAGGTCGGTCATAGATGCCGTCTACATCAGTGAGGAACACAACATGGTGGACGGTGAACTCTTCACACAAAGTCTGGAACATGGAACATCTCACAAAGGTCAAACACAGGTCATACACACAGCAGAAACTTAGTCCATCTCAAATTTGTATCTCTGACCTGCATAATCCAAATATTTCTGCTTAAAGGATTTGGCCAAAAATGTCCTTAAGAAGAAAAAACAGAAAAACATGCAAAATACTGTAACCACTCCATTTATATCACACAGATCTCTCTTGGATTTCAAGTTGTGATGAATTAAGTTGGAAGTATTTGTATCTACACTGTATTCATGTGTATGAGGTTTTGGCTGTGTGCATGTCAGTGACTTCTTTAAGTGGCATTTACTTACTTTGGAGATTTAACGTGCGCTTTCCGACTGATGCGTATTTCGCACACGGGCCCGGCCAGGCCATTTAATGTGTTTCCGAAAGGGGCGAAAGTGGTCTGTGCAACCCAAGAGGGGGGTTTAGGGGTTGCTTATATAGAATTTGGGAATTTTGAGATTTGGAATAGATGGCGATAGGGTTGGGGAGGAGAACTAAGGGAGCTGGGTAGGGTGGATGTTTGTTTGTTTATGTGATTTTGATTTGGTAGGTTACTGTGTTTTTAGATGCGTTTTATTAGTTCCGTTTTTATTAAGAATACGCCTAAGGCCTTGAAGTTTTCTAGTTTATTTTGTGGGTTTAGTATTGCTTCTAGAGTGAGAGCCTTGTTTAGATTGAGGGATAGTGCTAAACAATATAGGTATATATCGGGTAGCCTAGTGGTTAAAGCGTTCGTTCGTCACGCCGAAGACCCGGGTTCCATTCCCGACATGGGTACAGTGTGTGAAGTTCATTTCTGGTGTCCCTCGCCGTGATATTGCTGGAACATTGCCAAAAGCGGCGTAAAACCATACTCACTCACTTAATTAAATATGTCTAGTTTCAAACATTGTGGTGACCAGACATTAGAATGAGTGAGTGAGTACGGTTTTATGCCGCTTTAAGCAATATTCCAGCAATATCACGGTGGGGGACACCAGAAATGGGCTTCACACATTGTACCCATGTTGGGAATCGAACCCGGGTCTTCGGCGTGACGAGCCAACGCTTTAACCACTAGGCTACCCGACCGCCCCACCAGACATTAGAGCATATCGTTAGACTAACGGTGCTCATAGTCAGCATGACATCATTGTTACAGTTTAACCTTCTGTCATATTCCGACTGATTTCGGAAAGGAAATACTACAATTTTTGTGTAGAGTTTTGCTTTCAATTGTTTTGGTTTTGCTTGTAAATGTGTAATTGTGGGATATTAAAAGGTTAATAGAAAACTTAAGCATTTATTTTCATTCCACACATTCATCAAAAGGGAGACGAGTCTTCTTGCAGGTTAAGGAAAGGGGCGGGGCGTGACGAATGGTGTCGGTAACCTTGATAATGGTATCTCCGCTGAGGATGCATCCGCCGATGTTGGTGTCTCGGACAGTGTCTCCGTGGATCACCGGAACGAACCCTGCGTCCAGCAGATGACTCAGTGTGTCCAGGCCTGAAGAAATCACCTCCTTATTTCTCGTCACCCATGAACTGCATGGCTGAAAACAATCACTTGCATGAGTTGTTTGATTTCATTACATGGATTAAGTTTCTGCTGATCCCCAATTTCACAAATGTGGAATAAAATTAGGATATTAACAAAACATTTCTTTCTTTTGAATCACTGAAGAATTTTTCCCACATTTTCATACCTAAGCAAAATTAACCTTTTTTTTCCAAATAGTGACCATGTCAAGGTTTGAATCAGAAACCATGAAACTAGCCATACATTACCCACACATTAGCCATACACTAGTCATACACTACCCACACATTAGCCATACACTAGTCATACACTAGCCATACACTACCCACACATTAGCCATACACTAGTCATACACTAGCCATACACTACCCACACATTAGCCATACATTAGCCATACACTAGCCATACATTAGCCATACACTAGCCATACATTAGCCATACACTAGCCATACATTAGCCATACATTAGCCATACATTAGCCACACATTAGCCATACATTAGCCACACACTAGCCATACATTAGCCATACATTAGCCACACATTAGCCATACATTAGCCACACACTAGCCATACATTAGCCACACATTAGCCATACATTAGCCATACACTAACCATACACTAGCCATACATTAGCCACACACTAGCCATACATTAGCCACACATTAGCCATACATTAGCCATACACTAACCATACACTAGCCATACATTATCCATACACTAGCCATACATTAGCCATAAACTAGCCATACACTAGCCATACTTTAGCCATACATTAGCCACACATTAGCCATACAATAGCATTCATAATATGTTGCAACATCAAATGCTTGTGATAAGAGGCAAATTATTGTATTGAGATCCACAGGAACTGTAGCAACATTGTGTTGGTCTGGCGCCATGTACCGAGGTAATAAACTCACTGGGCAGGGAACTGCTGCAACATTGTGTTGGTCTGGCGCCATGTACCGATGTAATAAACTCACTGGGCAGGGAACTGCTGCAACATTGTGTTGGTCTGGCGCCATATACCGAGGTAATAAACTCACTGGGCAGGGAACTGCTGCAACATTGTGTTGGTCTGGCGCCATATACCGAGGTAATAAACTCACCGAGCAGGGAACTGCTGCAACATTGTGTTGGTCTGGGGCCATGAACCGATGTAATAAACTCACTGGGCAGGGAACTGCTGCAACATTGTGTTGGTCTGGCGCCATGTACCGAGGTAATAAACTCACTGGGCAGGGAACTGCTGCAACATTGTGTTGGTCTGGCGCCATGTACCGAGGGAATAAACTCACTGGGCAGGGAACTGCTGCAACATTGTGTTGGTCTGGCGCCATGTACCGAGGGAATAAACTCACTGGGCAGGGAACTGCTGCAACATTGTGTTGGTCTGGCGCCATGTACCGAGGTAATAAACTCACTGGGCAGGGAACTGCTGCAACATTGTGTTGGTCTGGCGCCATGTACCGAGGGAATAAACTCACTGGGCAGGGAACTGCTGCAACATTGTGTTGGTCTGGCGCCATGTACCAAGGTAATAAACTCACTTGGCAGGGAACTGCTGCAACATTGTGTTGGTCTGGCGCCATGTACCGAGGGAATAAACTCACTGGGCAGGGAACTGCTGCAACATTGTGTTGGTCTGGCGCCATATACCGAGGTAATAAACTCACCGAGCAGGGAACTGCTGCAACATTGTGTTGGTCTGGGGCCATGAACCGATGTAATAAACTCACTGGGCAGGGAACTGCTGCAACATTGTGTTGGTCTGGCGCCATGTACCGAGGGAATAAACTCACTGGGCAGGGAACTGCTGCAACATTGTGTTGGTCTGGCGCCATGTACCGAGGGAATAAACTCACTGGGCAGGGAACTGCTGCAACATTGTGTTGGTCTGGCGCCATGTACCGAGGGAATAAACTCACTGGGCAGGGAACTGCTGCAACATTGTGTTGGTCTGGCGCCATGTACCGAGGTAATAAACTCACTGGGCAGGGAACTGCTGCAACATTGTGTTGGTCTGGCGCCATGTACCGAGGGAATAAACTCACTGGGCAGGGAACTGCTGCAACATTGTGTTGGTCTGGCGCCATGTACCAAGGTAATAAACTCACTTGGCAGGGAACTGCTGCAACATTGTGTTGGTCTGGCGCCATGTACCGAGGGAATAAACTCACTGGGCAGGGAACTGCTGCAACATTGTGTTGGTCTGGCGCCATGTACCGAGGTAATAAACTCACTTGGCAGGGAACTGCTGCAACATTGTGTTGGTCTGGCGCCATGTACCGAGGGAATAAACTCACTGGGCAGGGAACTGCTGCAACATTGTGTTGGTCTGGCGCCATGTACCAAGGTAATAAACTCACCGAGCAGGGAACTGCTGCAACATTGTGTTGGTCTGGCGCCATGTACCGAGGGAATAAACTCACTGGGCAGGGAACTGCTGCAACATTGTGTTGGTCTGGCGCCATGTACCGAGGGAATAAACTCACTGGGCAGGGAACTGCTGCAACATCGTGTTGGTCTGGCGCCATGTACCGAGGTAATAAACTCATCGAGCAGGGAACTGCTGCAACATTGTGTTGGTCTGGCGCCATGTACCGAGGTAATAAACTCACTGGGCAGGGAACTGCTGCAACATCGTGTTGGTCTGGCGCCATGTACCGAGGTAATAAACTCACTGGGCAGGGAACTGCTGCAACATTGTGTTGGTCTGGCGCCATGTACCGAGGTAATAAACTCACTGGGCAGGGAACTGCTGCAACATTGTGTTGGTCTGGCGCCATGTACCAAGGGAATAAACTCACTGGGCAGGGAACTGCTGCAACATCGTGTTGGTCTGGCGCCATGTACCGAGGTAATAAACTCATCGAGCAGGGAACTGCTGCAACATTGTGTTGGTCTGGCGCCATGTACCGAGGTAATAAACTCACTGGGCAGGGAACTGCTGCAACATCGTGTTGGTCTGGCGCCATGTACCGAGGTAATAAACTCACTGGGCAGGGAACTGCTGCAACATTGTGTTGGTCTGGCGCCATGTACCGAGGTAATAAACTCACTGGGCAGGGAACTGCTGCAACATTGTGTTGGTCTGGCGCCATGTACCGAGGTAATAAACTCACTGGGCAGGGAACTGCTTCAACATTGTGTTCTGGCACCATGTACCGAGGTAATAAACTCACCGAGCAGGGAACTGCTGCAACATTGTGTTGGTCTGGCGCCATGTTCCGATGTAATAAACTCACTGGGCAGGGAACTGCTGCAACATTGTGTTGGTCTGGCGCCATGTACCAAGGTAATAAACTCACTTGGCAGGGAACTGCTGCAACATTGTGTTGGTCTGGAGCCATGTACCGATGTAATAAACTCACCGAGCAGGGAACTGCTGCAACATTGTGTTGGTCTGGCACCATGTACCGAGGTAATAAACTCACCGAGCAGGGAACTACTGCAAAATTGTGTTCTGGTGCCATATACCAAAGTAATAAACTCACCGGGCAGGGAACTGCTGCAACATTGTGATGGTCTGGCGCCATGTACCGAGGTAATAAACTCACCAAGCAGGGAACTGCTGCAACATTGTGTTGGTCTGGCGCCATGTACCGAAGTAATAAACTCACCAGGCAGGGAACTGCTGCAACATTGTGTTGGTCTGGCGCCATGTACTGAGGTAATAAACTCACCGAGCAGGGAACTGCTGCAACATTGTGTTGTATCAGGCTATTGACCACAAGACTATTCAACTGCAAGAAATGTTGAGAAGTAGTTTTGTAAAACGAGCTTCACTGGGAATTTTGGACTGGTAACATGGTAGCAAATGACACTTAATGTAAAACAAAATGTAGTTTAGAAGTGACATAAAACTGAAGGAATTTATAAATTAGCTAGCAGCAGCAAAGGTGTCTTAAACCTATTGAGTACAGGGATTTACTGGATGCGAAATCTTGCAAATCTATAAACATAATTTTTTTTTAAAAATATACGCAAATAAAAGTCATCATCCACTGGGATGAAGAAAATAATACAAGAATACATTACACAGGCACATGTTTCATGATCTTTTTACACAAGTCGTTGTGTTTCACTCAGGAATTCCATACCTATTTTTAAGTAACGACCTTTGAAAATGCACTTATATCACTAATAGTTGAATATTGACCCCGTATCGATCAGGTTAAAGTGTGTGCTTCGAAGCATGGCAAAACAAGGATTTGTAAAATATTTTTGGCGTGACCCCCCTGGACTCCCCTGGACCCCCAAATAAATAACGAGGTAAATCCTTGTTGAGTACATGTGCTGATGGAAATTTCTTCTTTGCTTGACTGATAGCAATCATAAAAGGGGACTTCACAGTCCTATTCAGTTTGCTTTAAGTTAAACCCATTTTGTCTGCTTCCTTATATCCAGTGAGGGGCGGTCGGGTAGCCTAGTGGTTAAAGCGTTCGCTCATCACGCCGAAGACCCTGGTTCAATTCCCGAGATGGGTACAATGTGTGAAGCCCATTTCTGGTGTCCTCCGCCGTGATATTGCTGGAATATTGCTAAAAGCGGCGTAAAACCAAACTCAGTCAGTATATTCAGTGATGTTAATCAATCTGGCAGTTGACCGACACAATGTTTCAGTTTGACACAGAGCACCAACAACAACACCTACACCCAGCTTTAAAAGATCTCTTATAAATATGCATGTCTTTTTTTTATGAATAATACATTGCACATTGGATGATTCATTCAAGATTCCAAACTACCTGTCTTAGTCAGGCTTATAGGGACAAATATATTATTTAGTTCAAAATTAGAGGTGTGGTGAAATGGGGTTTAACATCGCGTCCAAGATTATTGCACTTATATAGCGACGTGCATATACGTGTGAGTGTTTGTGTAGCTGCTTGTACTAGTCCGGACTGATGCCGATTTATAGTGCTAGCTAACTGAGATACCATGCCGCAGTTTAACATGAATATCCCACTCAGACACAGTATACTGACTCCGAGCCGACCAGTCCTTGTTTTAGCCCCTTAATGCCGAGCGCCAGACAGGGTAACAAGAAGTACCATCTTTAAACGTCTTTTGGTATGAAGCTGCCGGGGATCGAACCCCGGACCTTCCGCATTCCAGGCGGGCGCTCTACCACTATACCATGGAGGCGGTCTTCAAAATTAGAATTTAGAAAATACAAATATAACTCTCAGTGGTGCTTTAAGTTAAACCCATTTTGTCTGCTTCCTTATATCCAGTGAGGGGCGGTCGGGTAGCCTAGTGATTAAAGCGTTCGCTCGTCACGCCGAAGACCCTGGTTCAATTCCCGAGATGGGTACAATGTGTGAAACCCATTTCTGGTGTCCTCCGCCGTGATATTGCTGGAATATTGACACAGAGCACCAACAACAACACCTACACCCAGCTTTAAAAAACTGTCTTAGTCAGGCTTATAGGGACAAACATATTATTTAGTTAAAAATTAGAATTTAGAAAATACAAATATAACTCTCTGAGGTATTTTAGTGTTGTATTTTAATGTTAAAAGAATTTAATCCTTATCCTCTTCATTGGTCTTCTTATTAGTGACCTCAACCAAGGCTTAAAAAAAATAAAGGAAATGGTTCACAGGAAATGACTTTGAAAATATAGTGTTGGCAGGCAGTGTTTGTTTTCTTTTTTGGGTTGTTCAAACTAGTATGCAACCAAATAAACAGTTGTGTACCATCAACCTGGGAAAGGGCCTCCCTACATAAACAGGCATACACACTCTTATTGCCCACATAAGGGGAGGCATATTGGATTGCATTGTTTTTAAACATAAAGTGTTTTTTTTTACATTTAGAATGACAATAAAAACAGAATGTGCTGCAGACCTAATGATGACGTGGGCGGTGCCCAAGAACCAAGACTATAATATTTTGGGGCACAAGCTATCACATTAGGTGTCATCGTATTAACCCGAATTGGGACAATTAACATTTCTCTTTGGAAATCATAACTAACATTTGCTGCAGACTTGGTCATGTCGGTCTCTGTGGAGGTTGTAAATATATCTTTGACGAGACCTAGATTGGACCACATGATTTAACCATGTGAGAAATCAAACCCAAAATATACGTCCGACTACATTGGAACCAGAAAAAAAGTTTGAAGGCGTTACCTTAGCAACTGATGTGTGTGTTTGACAGAAGCCTATTCTTGCAGCATGTGCTGCTGCAGCCTCCAGATGAAGGAAGCCGGAGTTGACGCTGTGCTGCTTCGCTTGATGGTGGCCAAAGGATCTGTTGATGGAATGGAAAATGAGCATCGAATGAATGGATGAACAATCAGCCTTTGAAATTCATGCTAGTCTGTGCTTAAATGTGCCGAAAACAAATAAAAATCCAATAATGTTTGTCTTATTGAATAGTAGCATTTGAGGGCTATAATTCTGAACCAGTGCTACAAATAGGAACTGAATAAAATGTAAACATAATAAAAAATGTTTTCTTTAATCAGGACTCGCTACAAACCTTGAGGACCGCTCTGAAGCAGTCTGACAATACATTATTATATACTTGTTACATCATTTTGTCACAAATATTTGTTTGTTTGTTGTTTAATGCCGCACTCAACAATATTCCAGCTATATGACGGTGGTCTGTAAATAATTGAGTCTGGACCAGACAATCCAGTGATTGACATCATGAGCATCGATCCACGCAATTGGGATACGATGACATGCATCAACCAAGTCAGCGAGCCTTACCACCCCATCCCGTTAGTCGCCTCTTACGACAAGCATAGTCGCCTTTACGGCAAGCATGGGTTGCTGAAGACCTATTCTAACCCGAATCTTCACGGTTGTGATTCAAGTGTGACAAATATGATGGCGGACTGTAAATAATCAAGTCCAGACAATCCAGTGATAAATATTGTGAGAACGATTCACAACATTGGGGTACGAGGACACGCTAGCAGACAAGTCACGGAGCCTGACCACCCGATCCAACCGTGCCACTTTCACTCTCAAACAAAGTGAGGTGAGGTGAGGTGAAATGGGGTTTAACGTCGCGTCCAAGATTATTGCGACGTGCATGCACGTGTGTGTGTGTTTGTGTGTGGCTGCTTGTACTAGATAGACTGATGCCGATTTATAGTGCTAGCTCACTGAGATACCATGCCGCAGTTTAACATGAATACCCCACTCAGACACAGTATACTGACTCAGAGCCGACCAGTCCTTGTTTTAGCCCCTTAATGCTGAGCACCAGACAGGGTAACAACAAGTACCATCTTTTAATGTCTTTTGGTATGACGCGGTCGGGGATCGAACCCCGGACCTTCCGCTCTCCGGGCGGACGCTCTACCACTAGACCACGGAGGCTGTCCTCAAACAAGGAACCCTAATCCTGGAATCCTACCCAGCTCCGTGCACAACTACACAGGTCATGTTCTTCTGGATACACTCTTCAATCAATATGGCAGCCTTGTCGAGTTCAGCTTGTTTGAGAACTTCTAATTGATTCTTGTTCGTAATTGCGCTCCCACCAAATTTGACGATGAGATCCACTTTTCTGCGAGACATAATGAGGGACCCCTCGCAACTGTAATGGAGTGAAAGCAAAGGTAGTGCTACAAAAAGTGCCAGGATGTATGATGTCATTTCCTTTAGTGTAAATGATCATGTGATTGTACACCTATAAATAGCAGTTTTGGGGGATGTCCCAATGCACCTCGGTCTCCCCTATAATTGTTAGACTAATGGAACACTGTAGGCGAGTGAGGCTGGTCGAAAGTTTCAAGAAATAAGTCATTTAATGTGGGAGGGCATCAGAAAGTGATGCAAGTCATGGATTTCATCATTTTTGTTATTTCCACAAGCTTGCTTAATTAAGGTGCCGTATCAATGTATTCAACAGATGTTTCCACCTATGAGGGATGCAACACTGCATGACAAGCTGCAGAGCTGAAAACTACTTGATCACTGAAATTGTGCAAAATGAAAATATTCAACAACAATGAAATATACATTTCAATTGATTAACTCAGATTTTAAACATGGCTGCCAAAGCAGCCATCTTGAATTTGTATGATGTCACTTCCCCTAGTTATAGACCTTTGTTGACAGCTTTGTTAGTTGTTTGATGCCGTACTTAGCAATATTCCAGCTATGTCAAAGCGGTCTGTAAATTGAATCTGGACCAGACAATCCAGTGATTGACTTCATGAGCATCCATCAAGGCAGTTGGGATATGACAGCTTCTCGATCTAGAACTGTTAAAGTGTCATCATGAGTTGGATTGAGCCAGTTTTCTGAATGAAATAAACATTTGAAACGGTATATATAACGTTGGCATCATTAAGGTATTTACGGTATAATATGACGCTCCATGAAAACATTGAAACATGAATGTCGTACGGATATTATTTATGCATGGTGAATCATTACTTTTTATCTGAAAAGCATGCGACAAGTGCAAGTTCTGATATAAAGGCGACTATGTCGTCCGCTCTCGCAAACTGGAGCATATATTTTCACCTGGAGAAACAGAACCTTATCGTCAACAAGTTCTCCCAAGGGAGGTTACTCATGTCCTACTCACATTCTTCATTGTGAAAACACTCGATCTGCGAAAGGAAGATCGAACCTACAACATTGCTCTTATTTAACCAGTCAGTAGCATCATATTTTTGGCTCAAACAATATAGCTTTAAGGTTGAGCTGTAATCACTGCGAAACTAAAAGAAAGGCGAGTGCACACTGATACAAATGATACAGTTACATATACTGCACATAGGCCGTCATGCTTTCATTGTTTTATTATTGCATACTACATCATGCATATACTGCACAAAGTAGGGCTGGGACGAGTCTAGATTTACTACCTGGGTACCCACACCCCCAATTACCCGACCCTACCCGGGTACCCACTGTTGGTCTCAAGAGATAGGTACAAAATGTCCGATTTGGAATAGTTTGACCGTAGCCCTGGCAAAATGTATTTAGATACACGTTTTTAAAGAACGATCTGGCCATGCATATACAATGAAGTTGACTGAAGTTTTACCTTTATTCAAACATATATACCGTTTTTGACATAATAAGCGCCCAGGGCGCTCTCAAAATTAGAAATAGGGGCTCTTATTAGTATATTATTTTGGTGAAAAACAACAGAGTTGAAAGATCGTAAATTTCGTGGTTTTTGCTGACAGCCCGAAATGTTTATATACGGCAGATATATTTTTGCAGAATTTAATTTCCCATGATTAAGGCTGCATATAACACACATATTATACGCGAATAAATAAGTCTTGTGTACATTGATCAATTGGAAGGGGTGGTAATTTGGATTGTTCACTAGCCAATATATTAGCAAATATCGCCGTGGGCGCTTATTAGGGCGGGGCGCTTATTACGTCGAATACGGTAAGTCGTGAAGAAATGCGAACATCAGTGACTTGTGTAACCATGTAGTGTTAGTGATTTTTTGTCATGAAACATTATATCATGTGACTAACCACGGGTCCGGGTAGTCTTGTGGGTACCTGGGTCCTACTCAGTACCATCCCGGCCCGAGTATCCGAGTTACCCGCCCAAGCCCTAGCACGGATGTACAGACCATACAAGTAAATTGATTGATGTGATTTATTTCTTTGAAGACTGACGAGCAGATAGCAGTGTATCACGTCCACATACTCGGCTGGTCCTATTCCCTCCCTCGGTATGAACACTACCATTATTAATGAAGTACTTGCGCATAAGTCGGGAAGCCTAGTGGTTAAAGCGTTTGCTCGTCACGCCGAAGACCCGGTACTTGAATCCCGACATGGGTACAATGTGTGAAGCCCATTTCTGGTGTCCCTCGCCGTGATATTGCTGGAATATTGCCAAAAGCGGCTTAAAACCATACTCACTCACTCACTCACTTCTTTTGCCCGGCAGTTTAGATTATACCTTTAGGAGAATACTTATTTTAAAAGGTAAATAACGGAGTGGTGTGAGCAAGCACTGGCGAAATGTATTTTGTATAACGCAAGCTTTCCTACTTGCTCTAGATACACCTAACAAACTTTACTTGATCCAATGATCAGACCTACTGTATGTGTGTGAGCGGTAAAGATATTTTTCTACAGTTGTTTTCCACAATTTACTTTCTCTAGTTAGGAATCTGAGTGAGAGAGAGAGTTGGGTTTAACGCCGTTTTTAAAAATATTCCAGTTATATCGCGGCGCGTCAGCTTAATGTGGGAGGAAAGCCCGAAGTGATGCAGGTCTCAGACGTTTATCACTTCGGTGAAACCCACGAGCACGGGTATGGTGCTGACAAACCTAGAAAACATAATCGGGGCGAACCGTGATTCGAACCCACAATCATAGGTTTCTGGCGTGCCCAAGGGAAGCAACTCTGCACAGCGAATCGCGGCGCTTTAGACGACTGGGCCACCCGTGCCCCCAGTTACAAATCTGATATTAATTTTTTCTAATAATATAGTAAATAGGATATTCCATAAAACTGGCGTTTTCATTGCTTGCGATGTACCGGTTTTTAGAAACCAGCGAGGATCCGGGTTAGAATAGGTCTTTAGCAACCCATGCTTGTTCCTGTTTCTCCGGGGGGCACGGGTGGCCCAGTCGTCCAAGGCGCCGCGATTTGCTGTGCAGAGTTGCGTCCCTTGGGAACGCCAGAAACCTATGATTGTGGGTTCGAATCCCGGTTCGCCCCGATTATGTTTCTAGGTTTGTCAGCACCATACCCGTGCTCGTGGGTTTCACCGAAGTGATAAACGTCAGAGACCTGCATCACTTCGGGCTTTCCTCCCACATTAAGCTGACACGCCGTGATATAACTGGAATACTAGCTGTTAAAAGCGGCGTTAAACCCAAATTCACTCACTCACTCACTCCTGTTTCTCCAGGTGAAAATATATGCTCTAGTTTGCTAGAGCGGACGACATGGTCGCCTGTATCAGAATTTGCACTTGTCGCATGCTTTTCACGTAAAAAAAATTGATTAACAATGCATAAATAATATCCGTGTGACATTCATGTTTCAATGTTTTCATGGCGCGTCATTATACCGTAAATACCGAAATGATGCCAACGTTATATATACTCGATTACTTATAGACCGCTGTCTTTTTGCTCGAATATTGTTGAATGCAGCGTTAGACAAAAGACAACAAACGAATAGAAAAATGATAGTTTTCAGAAGAAGTCCAGACATAGAGGAGGTGAGGAATCAGTTATATGCTGGCAAACAAGTTTCGAAACGCTGGGGCCAAGGGGCACTTTGCAATGAGACCAATCACAACGACATTTTCAACACAGCTTTTAACAACACTAGCAGCTGAAAGTTTTTTGTTAAAAGAATACATTTTGATTCGGTGACATTGAACCCGGTGCAAATAGTTACACAGGTTCCCGTGCATATTCGCAAAGCATTTGAGTAAATGCGGTTTAGAAAAATGGCATTTCAGAGGCTGATATAAACACACCTGGCAACCTCAGTCAAGCCAATGTAGATTTGTCAGGTACGAATTTTCTTTGACAATACAGTTCAACAATAGTTAACAAGATTAGATGTAGGACAATATAAGTTTCTGATCCACACAAACAAACAGAAATTGATACTCAAGTATCAAGTATTTTTTTAGCATGGAGTGTTAGCTCTATTTTTGAAGGAATCATTGCAACATATTTTGAATGGGATACCTTAAATACCCAGTAGGAACAACGTACAAGTATATTGTCTAAAATATTCTGAATTAATTTTGTGTCAACCTGGAGACTGCCAAAAAATCTCCAACACGATCTATCATCAGATTTTTATGTATGATCAAAGGGTTCCTTCCTAATATTCAAATATTTTACTGAAATGCATGTACAAACGTCACAAGTCATTCCCCATTATGAAATTAAGTCCCCCGTAGACCCGTAAACAAAGCTATAAAAACCTTATAACATTTAATACCATAAGCTTCCCAGGGCGCCCACATACGTCACAACCTACTCAACAGGCACCTCTGCACGTGACCTGATCTAGGTTGCCCGACATTTGACCTGATTGTTGTATCCCAGGTGAACTACCAGCGCACCTGTCACGATGCCCGTCACGTGGTCTGTCTGAACGATGACGTGGACCTGTCACGTGCAACCCAACAGGGATCTACAAAAATGATGGTTGTGTGATAACATTGTTACAAGTACAAATACATTCGAAGCTCATTTCGCGAAGATATCATTGGTAACCGAACGCAGATATCATCATAATGCACATACCATTGTTGACGTAATGTAGACACCATTATTGACGTAATAAAGATACGACGCAAGGCAAATACAATTGATGACGTAATACAGACAATTATTGACGTAATACAGATGCAATTGTTGATGTAATACAGATACAATCGTTGATGTAATGCAGATGCATTTGTTGACGAAATACAGATACAATTGTTGACCTAATACATATACCATTACTAACGTAATACAGATAACAGTTGTTGACGTAATACCGATACTATCATTGACGTAAGAAGATACAATTGTTGATGTAATACAGATACAATCGTTGATGTAATGCAGATACAATTGTTGATGTAATGCAGATGACATTATTGACGTAATACAGATGACATTATTGACGTAAGAAGATACGATTGTTGGCTATTACTCACTGATTGTTGACGTAATACAGATGCAATTGTTGATGTAATACAGATGCAATTGTTGATGTAATACATATACAACTGTTGATGTAATGCAGATGCATTTGTTGACGAAATACAGATGCAATTGTTGATGTAATACAGATACAATCGTTGATGTAATGCAGATAGAAGTGTTGATGTAATACAGATGCAATTGTTGATGTAATGCAGATACAATTGTTGATGTAATACAGATACAATCGTTGATGTAATGCAGATACAATTGTTGATGTAATGCAGATGACATTATTGACGTAATACAGATGACATTATTGACGTAAGAAGATACGATTGTTGACTATTACTCACTGATTGTTGACGTAATACAGATACAATTGTTGATGTAATGTAGATACAAGTGTTGACTATTACTCACTGATTGTTGACGTAATACAGATACAATTGTTGATGTAATGTAGATACAAGTGTTGACTATTACTCACTGATCGTTGACGTAATACAGATGCAATTGTTGATGTAATACAGATGCAATTGTTGATGTAATGCAGATACAACTGTTGATGTAATACAGATACAATTGTTGATGTAACACAGATACAATTGTTGATGTAATACAGATACAATTGTTGATGTAATACAGATACAATTGTTGATTGTATTACAGATACAATCGTTGATGTAATACAGATGCAATTGTTGACGTAATACGGATACAATTGTTGATGTAATACATATACAATTGTTGATGTAATGCAGATGACATTATTGACGTATTACACATGGATTGTTGACGTAATACAGATGCAATTGTTGACGTAATACAGATGAATTGTTGACGTAATACAGATGCAATTGTTGATGTAATACAGATGCAATTGTTGACGTTATACAGATGCAATTGTTGACGGAATACAGATGAGATACAGGAGATGACGTAATGTGAATATTTTTCGACACTGTTCTCTCCATAGAACACGTTGCTGCTTATATACAGCTGGTTGTTAATAATGGGTAATACAATGATTATTACGTTGGTGTGCATCAAACTACTTTTAACGGTTTACAATTAACATATTACCAGCCAGTTCAGGTGCCTTCGACGGTCGGCTACCCGTGGTTAACATTCCATTTAATACACAATTCCCGTCATTGCATTAGTGTTAATTCCCCTTTAAATAAAGAACGGGAAGGTTGACACATGAACGAATAACGTGACGCTTACTGGGCGTGTTACACAATGGCGTAAATACCTGCTGTCTCGTCTAGATGCATATGTGCAACTCGGTGACTGTTATAAACAACATCTGCCATTCAGTTTTCTTTGTTTTACATTTTAAAAGCTAGTCGTGCTTCAGTGAACAAACATGCGCATGTTAACTGAAAGTATACGTCCACGCCCTATGTGTTAAAGATGTGGTTACATTCACTCATGCCTTCTAATCATTGAGTGAGTGAGTGAGTTTGGTTTTACGCTGCTTTTAGCAATGTTCGAGCAATATCAAGGCGGGGGACATCAGAAATGGTCTTCACACTGTACCCATGTTGGGAACTGAACCCGTGTCTTCGGAAAGACGAGCGAACCCTTTAACCACTAGGCTTCCCCGCCCTCCCCTACTATCACCGAACCATTATGAATAATGTGCAGGAGGGGCGGTCGGGTAGCCTAGTGGTTAAAGCGTTAGCTCGTCACGCCAAAGACCCGGGTTCGATACCCGACATGGGTACAATGTGTGAACACCATTTCCGGTGTCCTCCGCCGTGATATTGCTGGAATATTGATAAAAACGGCGTAAAACCATACTCACTTACTAATGTGCAGGATCAGTGTTGGTGATTGAGTTGTGTTTGACGAATATTTCAGCTTCATCACGGCCTGTCAGTTAAATAAGGGCGGAAATTCAACAGATCATGAACTTTAAAAGGCATTTTAAACTTGATCAAATATTTATTACCGTGCCGGATTAACGGACAGGTAATGTCTGAGGAACGTTCTTCCTTGGCGGTGGTATACATGTGTAGTCAGATGTGAAAAAGTTGGCCAGCATGTCTCTTGTATGAGGTTGCACATTCATGTGACTTTTCCGGAAATCACGCTCCGACCTGCTTCTGACTAGACTGAGAAAATTATTCCATCATAAAATGTTTCCACCACGCCCAGACGGAGAGTTGTTGACACGTCCACAGACACATGTCCACTAGCGGTCAATGCCGGCCAGATTACTGACACATACAGAGAGTTTTTTTGTATAGTTAATTGTGACAGCACTATGTTGAAGATTGGACTTTTCCTGACTTCGTGGCTGGCGGTTAATGCGCAAGGTAAATTGACATCAATCAGTATTTTTATATTGGTTATAATTTACATAACATGGATTTTGATTGGTCATTATTGCTAAAAAGTATAAAAACAGATGCTTCCTGAATGGTTCGCAATGATTAGCACGGATGTATCTATTTTCAGATCCAATGAATGTTTCTAGTCCCTGGCTGGTATACATGCGCACTTTGTTAAGGATTTTACTGATAAACTTAAGCCTTTCAAATAGATGGGGATTTCAATAACATTTGAAGAAAATCAACCACTGACACTTTATGCCAGAAGACCAAGTAAATATTTTTACCTTAAGAGCAAATTTCAGTTATAATATTTATTATTTTGATAAATGATTCAAAACAACCTTAATCGCGTGCATTCCCCCGATTCGCTATGTATGCTGACATACAAACGGCATTGTGACAGACAAACCCCCAAAGAGAATAAGTTAATTTGTTTTACTGTCGTGGATGGAATTAAGTTGATATGCTCAGCCTTTCCACCAACACCTGGTGCTATCACTGGTTTTCAGAGATCCATTCCTGTAATTGTTTTATTTGCTGACCGCATCCGTGGTCTAGTGGTAGAGCGTCCGCCCGGAGAGCGGAGGGTCCGGGGTTCAATCCCCGGCCGCGTCATACCAAAAGACGTTAAACGATGGTACTTGTTGTTACCCTGTCTGGCGCTCGGCATTAATGGGCTAAAACAAGGACTAGTCGGCTCTGAGCCAGTATACTGTGTCTGAGTGGGGTATTCATGTAAAACTATGGCATGGTTTCTCAGTGAGCTAGCCCTATTAATCGGCATCAGTCCGGACTAGTACAACCAGCCACACACACACACACACACACACACACACACACAGACACACAGACTCTCTCTCTCTCTCTCTCTCTCTCTCTCTCTCTCTCTCTCTCTCTCTCTCTCTCTCTCTCTCTCACAAACACACACACACACACACACACACACACACACACACACACACACACACACACACACACGCACACACACACACACACACACACGCATGTGCATGCATGTCGCTCTAGAAGTGCAATAATCTTGGACGCGACGTTAAACCCAATTCACCTCACCTCACTATTTTGCCCGTTGTCTCAACGGAGTCCGTTTCGTCAGATAATCGAGACTGATTATTATTCAGTCAGTGGGGCGTGTGTCCATCGTGTGTATTGATGCAGGCCTGTCACGCAGTCAGCAGGGCGTGTGTCCACCGTGTGCATTGATGCAGGCCTGTCACACAGTCAGCAGGGCGTGTGTCCACCGTGTGCATTGATGCAGGCCTGTCACACAGTCAGCAGGGGGTGTGTCCACCGTGTGCATTGATGCAGGCCTGTCACACAGTCAGCAGGGCGTGTGTCCACCGTGTGCATTGATGCAGGCCTGTCACACAGTCAGCAGGGCGTGTGTCCACCCTGTGCATTGATGCAGGCCTGGCACCTACGCCGAATTGAGGCCACTAAACGGTGAAGAAAATGGTATTTCATTTCTGGGAAGGATAAGACGGAACTCAGGAACTTCCTGCAGCGTTGCTGTGTGATTTGGAAGACGTCGCAAACGTCGGTCCATTTCATCCCAGTCATGTTCAGTGTGTGACAGATGAAGGGATCTTGCATACCAGGGCAACATTTTTTGTTTGTTTGTTTGTTTATTTATTTGTAGTTGAACGCCGCACTCAGCAATATTCCAGCCATATGACGGCGGTCTGTAAATAATCGAGTCTGGACCAGATAATCCAGTGATTGACATCATGAGCAACTGTAACTTGGTGTTGATCTTCTTTATACACGTTTTGAAACTTCACATCAACTCGGGCGGTGGGGTAGCTTAGTGGTTAAAGGGTTCGCTCGTCACGCTGAAGACCCAAGTTCGATTCCCCACATAGGCACAATGTAGCCTATTTCTGGTGTCCCCCGTCGTCATATTGCTGGAATATTGCTAAAAGCGGTGTAAGACCATACTCACTCACATCAACTTAACATCATACTCTCGAACCATAAACCGCACGAAGTCAGAAGATGGTGTAATGGGTTTTACAGGCTTCGATGGGATGGTGTACAAGACTATTCGGGTTCGAATCTCGGTTTACCTCGATAATGTTTCTAGGTTTGTCAGCATCATAACAATGCTAGTGGGCTTCACAAAAGAGGTATACGCCTAAGACCTGAATCACTCCGGGCTTTCCTCCCACATCAAGCTGGCACGCCTAGATATAACAGGCATACTGTTTAAAATACTCACTCACTCACTACAAGATTATTCAACTCGGAAATTCCCGTACAACCCGCTGGTAACTAACAGAAGTTGCTCATGCTCGAGTTCGATGTACAAGGGTAACACAAAATCTGAATTGTAAATCTAAAATGTAAATCTGAAATGTAAATCTGAAATGTAAATCTGAAATGTTAATATAAAATGTAAATCTGAAATGTAAATCTAAAATGTAAATCTGAATTGTAAATCTAAAATGTAAATCTGAAATGTTAATCTGAAATGTAAATCTGAAATGTAAATCTAAAATGTAAATCTGAATTGTAAATCTGAAATGTAAATCTGTAATGTAAATCTAAAATGTAAATCTAAAATGTAAATCTGAATTGTAAATCTGAAATGTAAATCTGTAATGTAAATCTAAAATGTAAATCTGAAATGTAAATCTAAAATGTAAATCTGAAATGTTAATCTGAAATGTAAATCTTGAACCTAAACAATATCAAAGAGCTGTATAACTTCGCCATATTATGTCCATCCTTTGGTGACATTCGAAAGCAATACATGCCAAATATAAATATGTATCCGACGTTCAGTCCAACAATTTACTCACCTATAGAAGTCCAGTTTTAACCCTTGTCGAACTAGGCTGGAATTCCGGAGTTACAATTTGGCTGAACTTATATGCATGGTCCAATCAAAATCGCGCAACGAACAATACATCCCGTAAACAACATGGATTTCAACGTCCAGATTTCCGTCGACCCCAGGATTTGCAAATCTCAAACCGTCAACTGGGCGTCAACATATATATTTTCTAAATCTTTTCATGTTTTTATCGAGGTGCACAAGTCATTTGATGTACTTCGCGAGGTAAGATCCGTTTTGTTACAACAGAGATCTTGACTATCGATCAGATCGACTTGATTGGGCGCCGCCGTTTTGTTTGAAGCAAATACAATTGATATGAGAGATGGGATCTGAGTGGTCAATAGGAGGGACATAGAAGGGACATAACTCGTAATAGCCACTAGATGGCGCTACGACCGAGCCACGAATATCAAGCCTAAAAAGTACTCACGGAAATGAAAAAAAACTGTTTTTTCGATCTCAAATTTTAAATAAATGCAGTCAATATACAAAATATATAAATATTCAAACAACTCAATTAGTACTAATTGGGCCTTGGCACAAATACAGCGTATCAAAGGTTTTTATGTCTTTTTACACGTAAAAGTGTGTAAAAATATGAACAAAACAGACTATTGTGAAACTGAGCATAACCAGATGTTAGTAGATCAAGGTGAATGTCCATGACCTATGACACCTTGACGACAGGTGAAAACATGTGCTTGAAACCCACGTGCATGTGATTTGTCAGTGGTTAGTGATTTGTGAGTGACATTGTGGGATAGTGAATCATCGTCAAAATATCAGAACGTAAAAGTAACATATTCCCTTCTCAAACAACAACTTACATGTCATTATTATTATGTACATAAACATAGCTGTTATTTTTATTGTTGTTTTGATAACTTTTTCCAGGCTAATTTGCATAATGCCTATAGCCTGTTTCTGCCATGTCAATTTGGACTTAGTTTTATTTTGAATGTTGAAAGTGCCTACAAATTACCTCCTGTAAAGTACATTTTGTATTGAGCACTGAGATAAAACTAGCAAATCCAGACTAGTACTTTTCCAGTTGTTTTGTTATTTCGTATTTACATCTATGTAATGCTTTGTGTCGATTATTAAATCCAGCAAAACAGTTTATTCTCATTTCCATGAGTACTTTAGTTTGGCAAGGGTGGAAACTAGTTATAGTCAGTTAACGCCCTTGCAACGGGAAGATGGTGGCAACCCCGAATGATAAAGGTTTAAAATCTGTCATGTTTTATCTCAAATATACCTTCAGGAACAGAAATGTACTCTTATGAAACATGTGAATCTATTTGTAAAACGATCCTGTACTATAGTGTATGCATTTCATGTATTTGGGTCTGTGGTCTTTCATACAAAAAACATTTGAATTGACCAGCAATGACTGTCGTGGTTCACAGGGACGTCTGGGAGCTGCATGTCTTCTGGGTGTGGCGATGCCGGTATATGTATAGACTATGGGAGCGGCAACGTGCGCTGTTCCTGCACCGACGGCTTCCAGGGGACGGCGACACAGTGTGTAGCAGAGTCGGGTGAGAATAAGTAAAAAATAATATAACATAACATAATTCTCATATTTCAAAAATATTCTAATGTCTGTAATATTTTACAAATATAAAATGTTGACCAACGACAGAGAACAACCAGTCACGATTATCCGCCGAGACGGGGGCACGGGTGGCCCAGTCGTCTAGGGCGCCGCGATTCGCTGTGCAGAGTTGCGTCCCCTGGGCACGCCAGAAACCTATGATTTTTGGTTCGAATCCCGGTTTGCCCCGATTATGTTTCTAGGTTTGTCAGCACCATACCCGTGCTCGTGGGTTTCTCCGAAGTGGTAAACGTCTGAGACCTGCATCACTTCGGGCTTTCCTCCCACATTAAGCTGACACGCCGCGATATAGCTGTGATACTGTTAAAAGCGGCGTTAAACCCAACTCACTCACTCACTATCCGCCGAGACAGGCGTTAAAGGCAGAGCAGCGGTGAAACATATATGAATGGATCACTGAAAATCAGTGATGACACCAGGTGTTCGCGAAATACTATTGTAACTAAGTTTGTGGTTTCCAAATTTAGGACGTTTAGAAGCTAGCTTCGTCGCCACTGTGATACTGACATTTGTAAGCCTATGTTGAAGTATGGGAGTTACGATCATCTTAGCGCTAAGATCGCTTTGTGCAAGTGGGCCATGCTGCAAGTCTAGAAGTGATGTGTCCGAGGACCATGGCTCCTAATTACCTGCATAGATATTCGTGTACTGGTTCACCCCAATACAAGAATTAACGAAACACGAGGTTTGATATTCACAAACACTTTACTGCAGTTCAGCCCGTCCCTGAATAAAAAAACTAACTAGACTCGATAAAGAATGGACAACTGCATTCGTCACCACTCGCCCCTTTCCGTCAACTGCATTCGTCACCACTCGCCCCTTTCCGTCACCTGCAAGAAGAATCGTCCCCCTATCGATGAATGTTATGTGCGAAAATACGACAAACCAATCAGAATACGCGTATGATTTCAAGTTCTTCGTCAAAGAATCCCTCAGAAATAATTTTTGATTTTACATATGTCTTGCATCTAAAAATATACCAAAGACACAGTTAAATGTGTTCAATCATACTGTATAATTCCGCACGTCCCGAAGTGTTTAAATTGCATCGGAAATATATATAATATATGGGGAAAATGTGTGAACCATTACGCAACGAGTTGACAATTGTTTTAGGTATGCCCGTTTGCGCTAAGACGGACCCGGTCGCAAAAATGGCCACGAGAGGGGCCCGAGTCGCTATTCGGCTTGTCCCGGAATAATACGAGTTGGTCACGAATGGGACAACTGGAGACGACCGAGCTTCGACTCGATCTCTAGACCGCGGAGCCCGAACTACTGCTTAACCACGTGAAGGTCTTTAAAGGTGTTCGAGCCTGGCTTGCTTATCACGTGCCCTGATATTCCATTTTGATTTATGAAAAACATCCCAGACCATGCTGTTTTAAGGATTGACTATATTTTTTCCCCGGTTCATTGAGGTATGAATTGAAAAACCGATGTGCAAACTGTATGAATCCGCCTGACTACTCGATCCCGTTAGTCGCCTGTTGTATGGGTTGCTGTAGACCTATTCTTACCTCGGATCTTCACGGGTCTAAAACAACGTAAAAAACGTACAAACAATACAATGTATGAATTAATTTGTTTGTAGGTGGTGCAGAATGTAACAGTGGCTGTAGGATCATAACGGAATATTTTCCAACTCGCATCTCAGATTAAATATTTCTACTTTCAATTTACAAGAAATATGACAAGATCTATATTCGCCGGCGTACTTGTATGTATTTACAGCAAACGACATGGAATTAGAGGAAATAAGAATATCAGCTCGCTTGGTTGAATGCTGTAGGCATTTTCTTACCTTCTTCATTGAAGGTAAGGTCAAGGTTTCAGGGCTCTCTATACTCGCGCCTAACATAGCCTCCCCGATGAAACAATCCCCCCAAGCAGAGGCGACAAAAATCCGTAGGAAACTCCACTTACTTGGTATCAAAGTATACTTGCTTTTCTGAGTGCGAGCTTGAGCGTGTATTTTTTTCCGGATGTTGTTTATTGAACATGTGTATATGTATGCCTACGGCTGATGATACTGCACGGTGATAGGTAAAAGAATTTAATCGCACACCGTACGATTATATAAGATGTAATCCTATCTCATTTCATATATTTATCTTACAAAAGATGATTGACAGATTGTAGGTTCACTGGATGCACGGACGGCACGTGCGAGGCTGGGCGTGACGGATCTTATGGATGCACGTGCAAGGCTGGGTTCGTCCTGTCTCAGGATGACAACAAGTGTGTGCCAGGTGATATATAACTGTATAATAAACTGTACCATACCTCCATGTCAGAATATCGAGATCTGATTGGTCCACGTGATCTAAATACAATATTTTTCTTACCTCCATGTCAGAATGATGAGATCTGATTGGTCAACGTGATAGTCAGATCTCCATGTCAGAATGATGAGATCTGATTGGTCCATGTGATCTTGATAAAATACGGTATCATATCTCCATGTCAGAATAATGAGATCTGATTGGTCCACGTGGTCTTGATAAATAGTTTATCTACCCCCATGTCAGAATGATGAGATCTTACTGGGTCAACGTGATCTTGATAAAATACTTCATCTTACCTTCATGTCAGAATGATGTGATCTGATTGGTACACGTGATCTTGATAATATACAGTGTAACCCGCCTTGGAGGGTAATACAATTCTCAGCGGGGCAATAAATCTCTTATACCCCGCCAGGAGCACTACAGGCTGCACGTGGATTTCTGATAGGCAGAATAAATCCCTTATACCCGCTTCAAAGCAAAAAGCCGCACGCTTTTTTCCGAGTCAATGGAAGTCACGTGACATAACACAAGTTAACCTCAGCTCAATCCAACAGCTGTTTTCTATTAATATTGAATTTGTGTTATTTTACAATGTCACATTAAAACATGTCGGTAACATAAATTCGTTGAAGCGGGCTGACTCGGATTACATGGAGTTTATACTTCCCACGTGAGTGGTATAAAACCTAAAGACCTAGAACTCATGTACCTCGAGTGATCCTGCTAAAACTTATACTGTCCTATCCCACCTTATGAATATCAATACAGTTGAGTAGAATGAAGAGAGGGTTAAAATGTGCGCCCCATGTACTGACGGAATAGATCCTGCTGTCAGTAACTGGTTTGCCTGGCCCAGTCTCGATTAGTCACAGGTCGTCGTGAGATAGCTGGGATATAACTGGAAGTATTAGACGTAGAATACTGATCTGAATTTATTTGGATAAATATGAAATGAATTTAAACGACAGTTGAAAATAATTTCTGCTGTTTTCCATGAAGCGCCCGAGAACTGCCCAGACACGCCGTGCCCCAAAGGATACTGTCGGACCAACACGGACGGGAGCAAGGTGTGCGTGTGCACCGTTGTCATCTCCTCAGCATCTGGTCTCATCAAATGCAACTCGTCAGGTAAATGTTACCCCTGACTTCAGGTAAATGTTACCCCTGACTTCAGGTAAATGTTACCCCTGACTTCAGGTAAATGTTAACCCTGGCTTCAGGTAAATGTTACCACTGACTTCAGGTAAATGTTACCCCTGACTTCAGGTTAATGTTAACCCAACTCCAGGAAAATGTTAACCCTGACTTCAGGTAAATGTTACCTCAGGCGCCAGGTAGATGTTACCCCAGACTTTTTGTGAATGTCACACAGGACTTTAGGTCATTGTTAACCATGACTTTAAGTAAATGTTACCCTAGACGTAAGGTAAATGGTACCCCTGATTTCAGGTAAATGTTAACCCAACTTCAGGTAAATGTTACCCCTGACTTCAGGTAAATGTTAACCCTGACTTCAGGTAAATGTTAACCCAACTTCAGGTAAATGTTACCTTTGACTTCAGGTAAATGTTACCCCTGACTTAAGGTAAATGTTAACCCAACTTCAGGTAAATGTTACCCCTGACTTCAGGTAAATGTTACCCCTGACTTCAGGTCAATGTTACCCCTGACTTCAGGTAAATGTTAACCCAACTCCAGGAAAATGTTAACCCTGACTTCAGGTAAATGTTACATCAGGCGCCAGGTAGATGCGCCCCAGACTTTTTGTGAATGTCACACAGGACTTTAGGTCATTGTTAACCATGACTTTAAGTAAATGTTACCCTAGACGTCAGGTAAATGGTACCCCTGACTTCAGGTAAATGTTCACCCTTAAATGAGATACATATGTCACCCCAGTCGTCAGGTAAATGTCACGCCAGACGTTTATTTCGATCATTCCTTATTTAAAAAACAACCGCTCTTAAGTTAAATTTTGTAATTCTGTATTATATTCTTTCTCCAATTCCAGCCTCCATGACAGTAGACTGCACGACCCGGAACTGTCAGTACGGCGTGTGTATCAACAGGAACGGCGTGTACGGCTGCCAGTGTCTCATGGGATACACTCTGTCAACAACGGACCGCACTGTATGTGTCCCCGTCACACAAGGTTAGCCATACGTCGTTTGTTTTTTGTTGTTTAGCGCGGCACTCAGCAATATTCCAGCTATATGACGGCGGTCTGTAAATAATTGAGTCTGGGCCAGACAATCCAGTGATTGACATCATGAGCATCGATCTATGCAATTGGGATACGATGACATGCATCAACCGAGTCAGCAAGCCTGACCACCCGATCCCGTTAGTTGCCTCTTACGACAAGCATGGATTGCTGAAGACCTATGCTCTACCTGGATCTTCATGGGTCGGTTAGGCATTAAGTGAAACTCGTTAATTCGGAAACCCTGCACTGGACGATTACGAATGTTTATACATGACTGAACGGGAACACCCCGTACCCCTAACTAAAACATCGGGGAATAGTTTTATTCCGATAAAGGGGAACGGCGGCGTCCGGAAACACAGGATCTTACTGTATGCATGTTCTGACTTACAGTTTGATGTGACGTTGTTGTGATGCGTAGTGACTAGCGTGACGAAAAGTGCTATGTAGTCACTACATATGTAGTGCGTATAGATACTTTCATGCCACATAGTGCGATTTGATAATAATAATTATCGTAATAATGCAAATGAAATATTCAACTCCAAAGGAAACGTTTCAGGACAGTCCTCCACAAATGCAATCAATGTATGCCAGTGGACGGTCTGCACCAACGGTCGCTGTGGCACTGACGTGTCAGGGGCTCCACGCTGTATCTGTGACCCTGGCTACCAACTGTCACCAGCTAGCAGCAGCGTGTGTGTGAAGATATACAAACCAGGTGAGTAGCCACGCCTTCAGCACCTCATCCACATATATAACATACATCTGACAGTGCGGACCACAGAAAGACCGCACATCACGTACGAAAGGTGACCCGTGAAGATCCGGGGTGGAATAGGTCTTCAGCAACGCATCGGGTGACACATGTCGTCTTCAGTGATACAGACAGCGTTTGCAGTGGACAACACGTGGAGACGGGTCATCTTCACTGATGAGTCACGTTTCCTTCGTTAATGCTAAAGTGTTAAAGTGCCCTGGTAACCCGTGAAGATCCGGGGTAAAATAGGTCTTCAGCAAGCCGTGCTTGCCGTAAAAGGCGACTATGCTTGTCTTAAGAGGCGACTTACGGGATCGGGTGGTCAGGCTTGCTAAGTCCCGGTTGATGCATGTCATCGTGTCCCAATTGCGTGGATCGATGCGCATGATGTCAATCACTGGATTGCCTGGTCCAGACTCGATTATTTATCGTCTTATAGCTGGAATATTGCTGAGTGCGGCGTTAAACAACGAACAAACAAACAAACAAACAAACAAACAAACAAAACTTACGAATGGGGGTTGAAAAGTTATGATCCTAACTACGAAGGATGCATCGAACGTCCTTGTTTGCGTGTATTCAGCACACTACTGCCCATGCTAACAGGCTGCATTTGAACCAATACACTATAGGCAGCATATTTATTCAGGCAACAACGTCACTTGGTATTCTCTGTTGATGGTAAGGGACAAAATGGTAATCAACTATCTCCAACCGAAAGGGCTGACACTAACAGCCATCCATATGGAAATGGTGACTTTACGGCATGTTGCTCCAAACCTTGTCACTGTCAAAGGAGACAGAGCGTATCCAAGATGATCCCAGATCAGGAAGACCTTCGGGGATATGTATATAGATGATCGACGACTCACCACACGGCCGCCTCCGTGGTCTAGTGGTAGAGCGTCCGCCCGGAGAGCGGAAGGTCCGGGGTTCGATACCCGGCCACGTCATACTAAAAGACGTTAAAAGATGGTACTTGTTGTTACCCTGTCTGGCGCTCGGCATTAAGGGGCTAAAACAAGGACTGGTCGGCTCGGAGTCAGTATACTGTGTCTGAGTGGGGTATTCATGTTAAACTGCAGCATGGTATCTCAGTGAGCTAGCACTATAAATCGGCATCAGTCCGGACTAGTACAAGCAGCCACACACACACACACACACGTACATGCACGTCGCTATATAAGTGCAATAATCTTGGACGCGACGTTTAACCCATTTCACCTCACCTCACCGACTCACCACACGTCACATGGCCAATACAGTAGGTAACTCCCATGAGGGAGAGTTGAGAACATTCTGAGGAAAGGTTTCGGCACGCTGGGTTCCTAGACTCCTGACTCCTAATAAGGAACGTATACAACAAAGGCCCAAGTGGTTTATTGGTTACCAACTAACTAGTCCTGAGGGAGTTTAACGTTAAATATACATAGACAAAAACATACAAGGTAGAGCTCGTTACTCGTTAAATCTACAATGGCGTCATCGTAACGCCAGCAATGCTTGTCAATAACGTCCTAACTACAATCCTGGAATTACACGTTAAATCCACAATGGCATCATCGTAACGTCAGCAATGCTTGTTAGTAACGTCCAAACTAGGGTCCTATCATTACACATTAAATCCACAATGCAGTTATCATGACGTCAACAATGATTGTCATAAACTTATCAACAAGAGTCCTGTCTTTACAGGTTAAATCTACAATGGCGTCATCATAATATCAACAATGATTGTTATTGATTTACTAACTGGGGTCCTGTCATAAGACGTTAAATCCACAATGGCGTCATCATAATATCAACAATGACTGTTATTGGTTTATTAACTGGGGTCCTGTCATTAGACGTTAAATCCACAATGGCGTCATCATGACGTCAACAATGATTGTCAGTAACGTCCAAACTCGGGTCCTGCCATTATACGTTAAATCCACAATGGTGTCATCATAACGTCCACAATACTTGATAGTAAAGTCCTAACTACATGTATGGTATTGGCATTATGCATTAATTCCTCGTGTCGCCATGACGACAACGATGAGTACGAAATACGAGTATATGTATTAAACATGTGTTTGGTATATAATATGCCAGGTTTTATTTGCCAGTTCAATGGGGTTGCGATGTGAGTGGATGTCTGAACGGCTACTGTGCTAGAGAGTATAATGGTCGCCGGAAGTGTATCTGCTATCCTGGATTCCGGCCGCATCCTCATTACCCATCACGCTGTGTCGGTAAGTGCAGTGCTATCGGCCTCAGTGAGTGGGTGGTAGGTCTGTGGGTGCGTAGGGGAGGGGGGAAGGGTGGAATGTAGGAGGAACGGAGGGACGAGGGACAGAAGGAGGGGATCGGTGAGTTGGTGGTAGGTCTGTGGGTGCGTGGAGGAGGGGGGAAGGGTGGAATGTAGGAGGAACGGAGGGACGAGGGACAGAAGGAGGGGATCGGTGAGTTGGTGGTAGGTCTGTAGGTGCGTGGGCGAGGGATGGGGAGAGGGGGATGAGGGAGAAAAGAAGGGACGAGGGACGGAAGGAGGGGATCGGTGAGTTGGTGGTAGGTCTGTGGGTGCGTGGGGGAGGGAAGGGGAGAGGGGGGTGAGGAAGGAACGAAGGGTCGAGGGACGGAAGGAGGGGATCGGTGAGTTGGTGGTAGGTCTGTGGGTGCGTGGGGGAGGGAAGGGGAGAGGGGGGTGAGGAAGGAACGAAGGGTCGAGGGACGGAAGGAGGGGATCGGTGAGTTGGTGGTAGGTCTGTGGGTGCGTGGGGGAGGGAAGGGGAGAGGGGGGTGAGGAAGGAACGAAGGGTCGAGGGACGGAAGGAGGGGATCGGTGAGTTGGTGGTAGGTCTGTGGGTGCGTGGGGGAGGGAAGGGGAGAGGGGGGTGAGGAAGGAACGAAGGGTCGAGGGACGGAAGGAGGGGATCGGTGAGTTAGTGGTAGGTCTGTGGTTGCGTGAGAGGCGGAAGGGGGAAGGGAGGGACGGAGGGAGGAGGGAAGGAGGGAGGGGATCGATGAGTGGGTGGTAGGTATGTGGTTGGGTAGGGAGGGATGAGGGAGGGACGGAGGGAGATGATCAGTGAGTGGGTGAGTGAGTGGCTGTTTGGTTTGGCGAAACTTTTGAGCAACCACACCACAGCATTGACCTCCATTGAGGTGCTTAATAAATTGTCCAAAGACAATCGAACTCGGACCTTCAGCATGACGGGCCAACCTTTTAACCACTAGTCTACCCCACGCCCTGCGCAGACACACGTCTATTGAAACAGTTCTTGTTATTATGATAATGTTCGACTAAACAGGGCATTATGTTTTAACAATGACATTGAGTGTACAGTAAACTACGGTTATAACGAACTCAAATGGACTACTAATTTTAGTTCGTTATAACCGTAGTTCGCTACAAGCATATATACAACATCTATACAGCAAATCGCCGGGACCAAAAATTAAGTTCGTTATATCCGTCAGTTCGTTATAAGCGTGTTCGTTATAAACGTATTTTACTGTATCTGTTATTTGGTAAATGTTATTTTTTTTTTGCAGAGATGTACAACCCCTGGAGATACAGTTTTGACATTTTTTCTTCACCGATGGGACTTCTACTTCTGGGAGATTTCTAGATCCGTGGACTGCCCAGTTTCAACTTAATAATATAAGTCAATAACACGAACTGTCTTATTTATATATGTATGTTGCGTTAAGTATGTTCAACCTATGAAAACATTTGTGTATTATAATGAATATGTTGCACCATTGAATGGTGTACGTTTGCATCGTGTTTTCCTCATCATGACAATTGTACGCAATTCTGGAAGGGACATTGTTGAATTGTCTCCCTTAAAAAAACAGGCACAATAATAATAAACAAAGAGCGATATCGTGACAATGTCCCTTCTAGGGTTCCATACATAGCAGACAGGTGAGGTGAGGTGAGGTGAGGTGAAATGGGGTTTAACGTCGCGTCCAAGATTATTGCACTTATATAGCGACGTGCATGCACGTGTATGTATGTGTGTGGCTGCTTGTACTAGTCCGGACTGATGTCGATGTATAGTGCTAGCTCACTGAGATACCATGCCGCAGTTTAACATGAATACCCCACTCAGACACAGTATACTGACTCCGAGCCGACCAGTCCTTATTTTAGCTCTTTAATGCCGAGCGCCAGACAGGGTAACAACAAGTACCATCTTTAAACGTTTTTTGGTATGACGCGCCCGGGCATCGAACCCTGGACCTTCCGCTTTCCGGGCGGACGCTCTTCCACTAGACCACGGAAGCGGTCCATAGCAGACAGGGAATGTTTAGACGTGTACCTGTATATATCACTGCATCTATTATGTAACATTGCTTATGTGAATTGATTACGTAACTGGTCGAAATTATCCCCTATTTTGTTTCTTATTCTTTAGAAATATTCCAGTTCGGTTCAATCTCAAATCAGATCTTAGTTCTCGCTTCCGCTAAACAAAGATCTGAGGACATCCCATTAGGGGTCTAGTCAGACCGACCTTGCGCGAACTTTGACCGACCAATGAAATGACTGACAAGAAGTCCACATTAGCCAATCAGAAGGCAGCTTTCTCGTGCTTTACGGCATTAGGTTCAAACTGGCAACTACGCTTCGAAACATATTTTGATAAATTCTCGATAAAACATTTGAAACCTGAACAAAAAAACATTCTGGAATGGCTAATAGATGGTCTAGATTGTATGGATTCAGTCGTTAAGCCCGTAACTATCGTTCGGAATACCCCGTGTTAAAGGTTTCGAGGTTGCAAGATTAGAAATCGCATTCCGACTGTCACTTTCATGATGTGGTAAGCGACGCTCTGATTAGTCGGATGTAAGGTCGTTCTGACGTGACCCGTAATGGGATGTCCTCAGATCTTTGCTTAGCGGTAGCGAGAACTAAGATCTGATTTTAATGAGATTGAGTTCGGTTAGATTTTTGACAAGGAACGGACACGCCCATCCATTTCGTGGACGCCATGTTTGTATGATGGCTACGGTTAACAAGACCCCACCTATAAAACTGTATTATAAGACAGCGGCTTGTAAATACCTGTGCATGGACCAGCCAAAACAGTGATGCACATGATGGGCAACTTCTGACGCCCTCGTGAAAGGATGACACGATATCCACAACAATACCAAGCCCGACCAAACAACCCACGTAGTCGCCTCCTACGACCAGTAATAGTACTGGGAGCCTATTCAGGGTTCCCACCAGGACGAGCACCTGGTGTCACGTCTTAACAGGAAACAGGCGTTTAAATATGTTTGTCGTTTCCATTTTGCTTGGAATTTATAATTGATAACGGTACCAGTGGTGCTTTACATTATGATGTTATATACTGAGTGAGTGAGTGAGTATGGTTTTACGCCGTTTTTAGCAATATTCCAGCAATATCACGGCGGGGGACACCAGAAATAGGCTTCACACATTGTACTCATGTCGGGAATCGAACCTGGGTCTTCTGCGTGACGAGCGAACGCTTTAACCGCTAGGCTACCCGACCGCCCTAATATACTGAAGATTACACCCCTGTCCAAAAGCCTTCCTTTACAATGACTGAAAGTAGCACAAATTGCTTACAAGTAATAAACCTATCCATAGTCGATATATGAATTAATTTGCCGTGTCATATATTTTTGTTTATTTTGTGAAGGTCAGTGTAAAAACATTTCTTACACGTGATCTATTCCGTGCGACCCAGCAAGGATAGTAAAGAAAGAACGTCAACGCAAGAGAATAACCAGTCTCGATTATCCGCGTAAAATGCAAATTGCGGTGAAAATTATGTAAATGGATCACTGAAAATCAGTGATGACACCAGGTGTTTGCAAGGCTGAGCATGTCCTGCCCTACCGGTAACACCCGCCACTCGAACGAATGAGAGGGAACTCGTTCCACAAACTAAAGCCATTGCAAGTCTGTCCACCAATATCCCAGCAATATGGCGGCGGTCTGTAAATAATCGAGTCTGGACCAGACAACCCAGTGATTGACGTCGTAAGCATTGATCTTCACAATTGAAACACGATGACACGCTTCAGCCGAGTCAGCGAGTCTGGTCACCTGACCCCTTAGTCTGCTCTTGCTACAAGAAAGGGTTGCTGAAGACCAATTCTAACCCGGGTCTTTACGGAGCTATCCTGAACTAGTAAGTAAGGAAGTAAGTTACGATAGTCTTGGCGCTAAGATTGCTAGACAACAGGTGGTGTATTATATACTTATGTTTAAGGTTATGAAGGCCCCTGGTCCATTATCATAATTAATATTTTTTTTTTTTTACGATAGAGTTTGTGAGTGAGTGACTGAGTGAGTGAGTGAATGAGTGAGTAATGCCCCTTTTAGCAATATCCCTGCAATACCACGAGGATAACTAAAATGGATTTCACACATTGTACCCAAATGGGCAATCGAAAACGGAGACGTGACGTGACGTGACGTGAGAACGCTTTCACTCCTGGGCTAGGACAACTAGCACTATTAATTGTATTTGTAGAACTGGCTTAGGAATCCACTCAAAGATATCTTACATTTATCAAGTGAGATGACATTAATATAAATTTCACAACTCAATACACATTTGAAACAACTACTTACATGTACGTATGTTTTAGAACCACTAGAAATTGCACTATGACACTCTCGGTCACATGAGCATAACGCCAGAGAGATTTAGTTACCAACACATTGAGTGCTCCAAACATGACCAGTTCTAATTTACAAATCAGTATCTGTAATGTGACCCAATTTCTTTTACCCCTATCAGAACATAATTTATCATCCAAAACTGGCTCCCACAGGAGATATCGCTTTGATGAGATCAATGAAATTACATCACAATGCTTTGCAGACCATTGTGACGTCACTGGTTACCATGACGTCACAATCAAATGACGTCACTAATGGCTCTGCTACTAAAGCTGTTTGCAGTGCTTTTTACACTGAAAACACTGCTAATTACTGTCTATAAATTGAAACAGTTGAAAGAATGATGTTGGATGATAAATACGATCTCACCCTCGTGTCTTTTGATATCAATATATCAACACTCGTTGATAAAAGTGGCAAAAATCCTCGGCAAGCCGCAGAATTTTTCCACTTTTATCAACGAATGTTGATATTTTTGATATCAAAAGACACGAGGGTGAGATTCTCTATACACTCAACCCAAAAAGAAACGTATACGTAATTTTCACATATTTGATCTGCTGTGTTCAAAGTAGGATAACCTAATTAATACAATATCACTTGCAGCCAAATTACAAAATAAGTGTGAGTGAGTGAGTTTGGTATAACGCCGCTTTTAACAGTATTCCAGGCATATCACGGCGTGTCAGCTTAATGTGGGAGGAAGTCCCGAAGTGATGCAGGTCTCAGACGTTTACCTCTTCGGTGAAACCCACGAGCACGGGTATGGTGCTGACAAACCTAGAAACATAATCGGGGCGAACCGGGATTTGAACCCACAATCATAGGTTTCTCGCAACTCTGCACAGCGAATCGTGGCGCCTAAGACGACTGGGCCGACTGCGACGTGCAAGGGACTGCACAATAAGAAAGTCAGTAACCAATAATATGGCATAAAAGTTCAATCAGTGATGACGCGAGTCTACATTTTGTTTGTTTGTTTGTTGTTTAACTCAGCAATATTACAGCTATATGACGGCAGTCTGTAAAATAATCGAGTCTGGACTTGACAACCCCGATTTTGACATCATAAGCATTGATCAACGCAATTGGAATACGATGACATGCATCAACCAAGTCAGCGAGTCTGACCACCCGATCCCGTCAGTCGCTCTTACGACAAGCAAAGTTGCGTTTTACGACAAGCATGAGTTGCTGGAGACCTATGCTGAACTAGTGGGCGTTCTTCTCAGTACCGCCATGTGCCTCAAAAACTGCTCTACATCTTCTCGACATGAATTGAAGAAGCGTTTGGATCCGAGCTTGTGGCATCCTAGCCCTCTCGTCCTGCAATGCCGGTAATTTACAGTTGATGACGCGTCTGGGGTTGCGGTTGACGTAGCTGTCTATGGAGGTCATCACATTGTATGGGGTCAAGGTCTAAAGATGTGGAAGCCATGGGACTGGGAACTATAATGTTAGCATCAACTTCTGGTAGGTGGCACGTACAGTTTGCTGCCTGACATGTCCTTGCTGGATTTATCTTGTATTATAGCTAAAATGGATAGAATCATCATTAAACCGCCCGCACGTTATCAGAAATAAGCGGGCCACTGTAACTTGATAATGCCCTCATATTGCTTGACGACGGGCCATTATCAAGCCCGTTGTTCGGTGACGTCATAGGGTAGAGAAAATGACGTCACGTATTATAGTGACGTCATCTGGTTTGTTCTATGACGTTTCCATATTTGTAAAATGTGGTCAGTGACATTCGTGTTGATTGCAGTAAATGTTTCTAAACCGATGTTGTTGTGTCTTTTTATTTGATAACAAATTCCATCCATTTTAGCTATAATAACGGTAACGCTCTTTTTCAGGGCATTATCATTTGCAGAAGCCCTCGGTTAATGGAAAACCTCGGGCTTCTGCAAAATTAATGATAATGCCCTGAAAAAGAGCGTTACCCTTACATTATTTCCCTCCAACGGCCAATAATGGGAGCTTTGCAATATCGTAACATATCGGGGGCACGGGTGGCCCAGTAGTCTAAGGCGCCCCGATTCGCTGTGCAGAGTTGCGTCCCTCAGGCACGCCAGAAACCTATGGTTGTGGGTTCGAATCCCGTTCGCCCCGATTATGTTTCTAGGTTTGTCAGCACCATACCTGTGCTCGTGGGTTTCACCGAAGCGGTAAACGTCTGAGACCTGCATGACTTCGGGGTTTCCTCCCACATTAAGCTGACACGCCGTGATATAACTGGAATACTGTTAAAAGCGTCGTTAAATAAACTAATTCACTCACTCACTCACTCGTGACATATCTTACGTGTACAAGGTTGGATCTCCCCGACCAGGTTGTGCCGCCCCAGATCAATCTCCGTAACATTTTCATGCAAATTTACACCACCATAAATGCATTGCTGTTGAAAATGGTGCATTTTGACAACGGAAACATTTTCATGAACAACAAAAAGAATTTTGTTGCAATGTTACAATCTAACACCATTTCTGACTACATAACATTGAAGGGAAGATAATTTTGGATGTCAACGTCTTTATTATGAGGAACACAACGTTTCGGAGTATAACTCCTTCATCGGGTAGCCGCCTCCGTGGTCTGATGGTAGAGCGTCCGCCCGGAGAGCGGAAGGTCCGGGGTTCGATCCCCGGCCGCGTCATACCAAAAGACGTTAAAAGATGGTACTTGTTGTTACCCTGTCTGGCGCTCGGCATTAAAGGGCTAAAACAAGGACTGGTCGGCTCGGAGTCAGTATACTGCGTCTGAGTGGGGTATTCATGTTAAACTGCGGCATGGTATCTCAGTGAGCTAGCACTATAAATCGGCATCAGTCCGGACTAGTACAAGCAGCCACACACGTGCATGCACGTCGCTATATAAGTGCAATAATCTTGGACGCGACGTTAAACCCAATTTCACCTCACCTCACCTCACCTCACCTCACCTTCATCAGGTGAAGGTACATGCTTAATCCTTCATTTCACCTGATGAAGGAGTAAGCATATACTCTGAAACGTTGTGTTCCTCATAATAAAGAAGTTGACATCCATAAATTATCTTCCTCATGTATATCACTTCTAAATGCCTTTCATGCATAACTGAAATTGACTCTTTCCATACCATCTATGCGTTTCTCTTTTGGAAGAGCATATATTGTAACATTTCTCCGGATACCTGGTATACAGACCCGTGAAGATTCCGGGGTAGAATAGGTTTTCAGCAACCCATACTTGTCGTAAAATTCGACTAACGGGATCGGTTGATCAGGCTCGCTGACTTGGTTGATACATGTCATCGATCCCATTTGCGTGGATCGATGTTCATGATATTAATCACTGGATTGTCTGGTCCAGACTCGATTATGTACAGACCGCCGTCATATAGCTGGAATATTGCTGGGTGCGGCGTTAAACAACAAACCAACCAACCAACCTGGTGTACAACCATTTAATCCAACTAACAAATGTTGTTAATTTTCACGCATGTTGTTATATAATCGACTTTTACTCAAGTGGCATGTCAATATATTTACAACGTGATTAGACGTGACGATAAAGTGATTCAGATAATGTTTCGTGTATTATATCGGCCATCTTCGTGTTCAACATTTGTCGGTGGGCGTGATGACGGAGAACACGGAATCCTTCTTGCCCCACACAGATAAACAGCCGATGGCGTCTGACGTCAACGTGCCGCTCTTGGTATGATATGCATGTGCATGTTGACATAAACAGAGTTATAAATTGCAACCTCTGTCATAATAAGTCATATTTTGAAGTTTATGTTAAGTAAAGTTTTCGTTTACACAAACCTATGTCCAACCAGTGTGTTTTGTATTGTCAGATGATATATTAGAAATATGCAGGATTCATACCTGGGCAATATCTCACCTGTTGTATACTTGTAAACTTTAACATTTCGTCGCATGACTGAATCCACTGAACTGATAAGACACGTTGCCAATTATTTGAATTCCTATTTGGAAAGAAAGAAAGAAACTGAGGAAGAGGAAAAGGGTCGCGTTGCATAATCTGCTGGGACCAGGCTCCGTGATGTCCTACAAGGTGAATGCTGTGGTTGGACTGTGTGTATTGATGACACCGTGTATTGCGTTCATCGTGCCTCAGCCGACTGCATTGGATCTGATGAAGCTGCTGGGACCACAGGCACCGTTCGGGCAGCCGGGTGAGTTCTATATAGTCGGGTGAGTTCTATACACTCGGGTACGTTCTATACAGTCGAGTGAGTTCTAGATAGTCGGGTGAGTTCTATACAGTCGAGTGAGTTCTGGCTAGTCGTGTGAGGTTTTTTTTTACAGTAGGACGAGTTTTAGCTAGTCGGGTGAGTTTTATACATTAGATTGAGTTTTAGCTAGTCTGGTGAGTTCTATACCGTCGGGTGAGTTCTAGCTTGTCTGGTGAGTTCTGTGCCGTCGGGTGAGTTCTAGCTACCAAGTTTAGGCGAGGAAAACCAAACTTGTGGGCAACAGAACAGAAAAATTAAACATGGTGGAAATTAATGAAGCTTTTGTCATAAAATGCTTACTTTGAAATAAGTGCCTTACAAAATGTGAATTACAGAATGAAGGGTAGATACGAGTAAATACCTGATTATTATTTTGAAACAAATGTTTTGACACGAGTGAATGTGTGAATGAATATCTGTAAAGGTGATATTTCATCGTTTTGCCTATATTTACTATTCTTACAAAATAACATATTTATCGCATTAAGTGACCTGACATAGTTGATACTTATATAGTTGCCCCCTTATATTGTCTGAATCCCTACTACCGCCTCCGTGGTCTAGTGGTAGAGCGTCCGCCCGGAGAGCGGAAGGTCCGGGGTTCGATCCCCGGCCGCGTCATACCAAAAGACGTTAAAAGATGGTACTTGTTGTAACCCTGTCTGGCGCTCGGCATTAAGGGGCTAAAACAAGGACTAGTCGGCTCGGAGTCAGTATACTGTGTCTGAGTGGGGTATTCATGTTAAACTACGGCATGGTATCTCAGTGGGTAAGCACTATATATCGGCATCAGTCCGGACTAGTACATGCAGCCACACAAACACACACACGTACATGCCCGTGGCTATATAAGTGCAATAATCTTGGACGCGACGTTAAACCCAATTTCACCTCACCTCACCTAAATCCCTACTAGGAGGTTCTGTACCGTGCTGGAGACCCGTGAAGATTCCGGGGTAGAATAGGTCTTCAGCAACCAATACTTTGTCGTAAAAGGCGACTAACGGGGTCGGCGCATGTCATCGAACCCAATGGAGTGGATCGATGCTCATGATGTCAATCACTGGATTGTCTGGTCCAGATTATTATACAGACCGCCGTCATATAGCTGTAATATTGCTGAGTGTCGCGTTAAACAACTAACCAACCAACCAACCATGCATGCTGGATTTGTCTAGCTGTTCGAGAATATTTCAGATTACGCTTGACTCCCAAGGCATCTAAATATAGTAACGTCCACACCACTGCTTACATTAGATACTAACACATGACCTGCATTATTTTCTGCAACTTTAAGCTGCCACGCACACCATGATATAACTGGAATGGTATTGAAAGCGGCGTTAAACAACCCAACTCACACACTCGAATTTATTAAAAGACAATTTAACAAAAAGTGTTTATCTTTTTATTTCTGAGACTAGTATTAGTCTATACATCAGACTGACACTTATATTTAATCAACGACTCTAATTTCAGCCTCGGTCGGTCAAGGCCTCGGAAGTAATGTATTCGGCCAGAAGTCCAACTGTTTGTTTCGCGGCTGTATCAACGGCAAATGCATTCCCGTCTACGGCTTCACCGGCAACTACGTGTGTCAGTGTCCCCCGGGCCATTCCCTTCACCCCACCGACAAGCTGATGTGTGTTCCCACCGGTAGGTCTAATAGATGACCCCAACACGTGTGTCATCAATATTGGAATCAAGATCATAGATCGGGCAAGCACGCATATGGGAGGCAATTCTACACATCGAATCGACGCACATTAAACGTGCCAGAAATATTTGGTCGTGGGTTCGAATCCCGTTCGATGTAATTATGTTTTTTGCAAACACGTGCAAAATGGTATTAAAGGCTTGCATAACTTCATTTCCCCACTCTCGGAAAACCTACACTGACCCCTTGACCCGTCCACGAGGTTTTCGCGGTCTTAAAAGCCTGTCCTTGATTTTCTTTAACATTTTACAGGACCGCCTCCGTGGTCTAGTTGTAGAGCGTCCGCCCGGAGAGCCGAAGGTCCGGGGTTCGATCCCCGGCCGCGTCATACCAAAAGACGTTAAAAGATGGTACTTGTTGTTACCCTGTCTGGCGCTCGGCATTAAGGGGCTAAAACAAGGACTGGTCGGCTCGGAGTCAGTATACTGTGTCTGAGTGGGGTATTCATGTTAAACTGCGGCATGATATCTCAGTGAGCTAGCACTATAAATCGGCATCAGTCCGGACTAGTACAAGCAGCTACACAAACACAAACACGTACATGCACGTCGCTATATAAGTGCAATAATCTTGGACGCGACGTTAAACCCAATTTCACCTCACCTCACCTTAACGTTTTACCGACCAATCAAACGTCGAGATGAAGAAAAACTGTAAGGGAGGTAACTCGCCAAAGCCATCGACAGTTTATATGGACATAAACACACCCTTTCCATCAATGAGAGTTTTGAAAGTTTTATTTTGCGTGTCTGTCAGTTTTTTCAACGTTGAATTTCTCGCAAACTCTATCGTAATCAGTGGGGCTGGCCCTATCTTGTTCATGCCTGGTTTGTAACTCGCATTCTAATTGGTACGTTAGACCTAGTAGCGTAGCCAATCAAATTGGCTTAAGGAAATCAATCAATCAATCTTTATTCATGGTACTGATGAGGCCAAAGGCCCATAGTACATTGTCTGAGGCGTGTTACAAATTCCTACATTTTCTTAGTTTCATAGCATGATAAATGAACATTGATAAATTTCTCATAGTTTCTGTACAATCACAAGTCATTAATTTACAAAATTAGTTACCGTTGCGGTAGAAATAGTTATTTAGATATTTTGCTCTTTAATCATTATACACTGGACATACACATAAAAAGTGATATTCATCTACAATACAATCAGTTTTACAAATCCTACAAAGTCTATGTTCTCTTGTAATACCTGCGTATCTGCCTTTTTCAATAAGTAGATCATGTGAGCCACAACGAAAGAGCTGCTCTAAACTTATGTAAATTTACACTTATAGATAAGGTTCTAGTATAATAGTAGTCTTAAATGTAGGGTAGTAATTTGCTTATCTAGAACTGGACAAAGAACCATGCCATGTTTGGATGTACGTATCTTTTAAGGTCTGTGTCAAACTGGAGAAGAAATGCTGTGGCATATCTACATGTTGCTGTAACCAAATATAGCACTATCCACATTCGTATTACATTTTTTAACTTTTGATGCCCAATTTTGTTTCCTATAGCTGTCGTAGAGAAGCATCATATTGTAACATTTTCTAGGGTCATTTTCTTGAAGATGGCATATTTAATAGCTTGACCCAGTATTTATTAACCTTTAAATAACTATTGATATCCGCGTTCAACATTTACCCTTGCGTTTTCTGTGCTAGATTTTACATCCATGCATATAAATGTATTTTCTCAATAACCAATCAAGGGCAGGTAATTTAAGAGGGTGTACAATCAAGTGCTAGATATTATGAGCAACGATCCACGCCGGGGTACGATGGCGAACAATCACCGAGGATGACTACCCGGTACACAAAGAGTGAGTGAGTGAGTGAGTGAGTGAGTGGGTGGGTTGGTGGATGAGTGAGTGAGTGAGTGAGTGAGTGAGTGAGTGAGTGGGTGGGTTGGTGGATGAGTGAGTGAGTGAGTGAGTGAGTGAGTGAGTGGGTGGGTTGGTGGATGAGTGAGTGAGTGAGTGAGTGAGTGAGTGGGTGGGTTGGTGGATGAGTGAGTGAGTGAGTGAGTGAGTGAGTGAGTGAGTGGGTGGGTGGGTTGGTGGATGAGTGAGTGAGTGAGTGAGTGAGTGAGTGGGTGGGTTGGTGGATGAGTGAGTGAGTGAGTGAGTGAGTGAGTGAGTGAGTGAGTGAGTGAGTGAGTGAGTGAGTGAGTGGGTGGGTGGGTTGGTGGATGAGTGAGTGAGTGAGTGAGTGAGTGAGTGAGTGAGTGAGTGGGTTGGTGGATGAGTGAGTGAGTGAGTGAGTGAGTGAGTGAGTGGGTGGGTGGGTTGGTGGATGAGTGAGTGAGTGAGTGAGTGAGTGAGTGAGTGGGTGGGTGGGTTGGTGGATGAGTGAGTGAGTGAGTGAGTGAGTGAGTGAGTGAGTGGGTGGGTGGGTTGGTGGATGAGTGAGTGAGTGAGTGAGTGAGTGGGTGGGTGGGTGGGTGGGTTGGTGGATGAGTAAGTGAGTGAGTGAGTGAGTGAGTGAGTGGGTGGGTGGGTGGGTTGGTGGATGAGTAAGTGAGTGAGTGAGTGAGTGAGTGAGTGGGTGGGTGGTAGGGTGGGTTGGTGGATGAGTAAGTGAGTGAGTGAGTGAGTGAGTGGGTGGGTGGGTGGGTGGGTTGGTGGATGAGTAAGTGAGTGAGTGAGTGAGTGGGTGGGTGGGTGGGTTGGTTGGTGGATGAGTAAGTGAGTGAGTGAGTGAGTGAGTGAGTGAGTGAGTGAGTGAGTGGGTGGGTGGGTGGGTGGGTGGGTGGATGAGTAAGTGAGTGAGTGAGTGAGTGAGTGAGTGAGTGAGTGAGTGAGTGAGTGAGTGAGTGGGTGGGTGGGTGGGTGGGTTGGTGGATGAGTAAGTGAGTGAGTGAGTGAGTGAGTGGGTGGGTGGGTGGGTGGGTTGGTGGATGAGTAAGTGAGTGAGTGAGTGAGTGAGTGGGTGGGTGGGTGGGTTGGTGGATGAGTAAGTGAGTGAGTGAGTGAGTGAGTGAGTGGGTGGGTGGGTGGGTGGGTTGGTGGATGAGTAAGTGAGTGAGTGAGTGAGTGAGTGGGTGGGTGGGTGGGTGGGTTGATGGATGAGTAAGTGAGTGAGTGAGTGAGTGAGTGAGTGAGTGGGTGGGTGGGTGGGTGGGTGGGTGGGTTGGTGGATGAGTAAGTGAGTGAGTGAGTGAGTGAGTGAGTGAGTGAGTGAGTGGGTGGGTGGATGGGTGGGTTGGTGAGTGAGTGAGTGACTGAATGGGTGGGTGGGTTGGTGGATGAGTGAGTGAGTGAGTGAGTGAGTGAGTGGGTGGGTGGGTTGGTGAGTGAGTGAGTGAGTGAGTGAGTGAGTGAGTGAGTGGGTAGGTTGGTGGGTGGGTGAGTGAGTGAGTGAGTGAGAAATATTACATCTCTATCACGTAGTGTAAAATATTCCAGTTTGTACAAGCAAAACTGTTCGGTTTATAGCATATAGCATAATAGATATCAGGATGGACAACACTAAGAGGTGAGGTGAAATTGGGATCACCGTCGCGTACAAGATTATTGCACGTGTGTGTGTGTGTGTGTGTGTGTGTGTGTGCTTGTACTAGCCCGGACCTGATGCCGATTTAAAGTGCTAGCGCACTGAGATACTATGCCACAGTTTAACATGAATACCCCACTCAGACGCAGTATACTGACTCCGAGTACTTATTTTAGCCCCTTAATGCCGAGCGCCAGACAGGGTTACAACAAGTACCATTTTTTAACGTCTTTTGGTATGACGCGGCCGGGGATCGAACCCCGGACCTTCCGCTCTCCGGGCGGACGCTCTACCACAAGGCCACGGAGGTGGTCCAACACTAAACGATTTAAACACTTAAAACATTGAATGTCGTACAATAATTCTAACATATTAATTGATTTAATTTCAGATGCATCCACGTTTGGAAGGCGTCAATCGCTGTTCAGGATCCTGTCGCTGTTACAATGGTTACGGTCCATGCAGTCAATGCGACAACCGTCACCGACACAGGGTCAACCCCAGAACGAGGCCTTGTTTGATGCTTAGGCCGCCTTCCATGATGAACAAGCAGCCGTGTTCAGTGACCAGGAAGCAGCGTGCGCTGCTAAGTGGGATCACATCTTAAACCACATAGATTCTGATATTACAGACTGAATCTAAACTGCTCATCTGGGGTGTTAAACGCATATCTGTTAAATGTTCCCGTCAGCGTTACATTCACTGACTCTCAATATTTATGACAAAGATATTCTGTTCACAAAATTGCTGGAATTGTTTTTGTCAAAACACATCATTCACTGGACATATGGATATTCGGACAATTACTAGAGAGAAAAATGCTATACAGTAAACTACGGTCATAACGAACACGCTTATAACGAACTTACTTGTTAGACCCGGCCATGTGTTGCATATATGCTGTATATATGCTTATAACAAACTACGATTATTACAAACGAAAATGGGTGGTCCCTTTGAGGTCGTTATAACCGTAGTTTACTGTATTTTGATTTTTTAAAACAAGATGACAAGGTCAAAAGAATCACAATTGAAAGGACTGTTGTTAAATTTGATTCTGTAATCTGTGGCTCTACACATTTTGTGTAAATATAACTTGGTTAAATGAAGATTGGATCAATAAATGAATTTACAATCAAATAACCCCTATCATGTTTGAAATGTGTGCCAAAACAAATATATATTGAATTTCAAAGATAAGATGTCTAAGATACCCATCAACAATTGTGTTTTATGCGAAATTTTACAATCTGTTGAATACATTGTTGTCTGTACCTTCCTAGCCTGTCTCAAAGTCCCTAAACCATATTCTTCCATTCCACTCAGCCCTAACTGTAATGCTATAGCCCCAAATGAAGCAAGTCCAGATTTTCCACAGGTCTATCTCTCAGTCCATGAGCCATATTATTTACCATTCCACCCAGCCCTTACTGTAATGCTATAGCCCCAAATGAAGCAAGTCCAGATTTACCACAGGTCTATCTCTCAGTCCATGAGCCATATTATTTTCCATTCCGCCCAGCCGTTACTGTAATGCTATAGCCCCAAATGAAGCAAGTCCAGATTTTCCACAGGTCTATCTCTCAGTCCATGAGCCATATTATTTTCCATTCCGCCCAGCCCTAACTGTAATGCTATAGCCCCAAATGAAGCAAGTCCAGATTTTCCACAGGTCTGTCTCTCAGTCCATGAGCCATATTATTTTCCTTTCCACCCAGCCCTAACTGTAATGATATAACCCTAACGTCAGCAAGCCAAGGGGTTTTCCACGGGCTCTGAATCTCCTATCTCACTGGGGCTCCTTTTCAATTAAAATTGAGTTTCTATCAAAATTATATATTTTCAGAGGCTATGCATTAGCCTATAACTCTCAACCAAGTAATTAGTTATGCAACCAATAGTCATTTTACATATTTAATTATCTTCCATATCATAATATTTTCGAAACTTTAACCAATATTTCCATAACAAAACACAAAAAAATAAACAATCCCTATACTGATGTGTAATATTTTAGTTGTTATTTATGATAGAAAAACTTTCAGCTGTATTACGGCGGCCTGAAAGTATTCGAGTGAAACCAGAGACAAACCAGTGATTGATATCATGAGCCATACCCCATACAGTCAGGGCACGGTGGGATAATTACGCTATAACTATCGATAACGTATGTGTCATATTGCAAACATCTTTCATGTATATATTGCAAACATTTTCATATAGCACTGAAATGTAATTAGGTGTTGCTTATGTCTGGATTGCTCAGGACTGTGGAAACACGAAGGGTTTCATAACTATGTTTAAACAGAGATGTGGAGATATGGAGATACAGAAATGGTTTCAAAAGATTACCAGCTCACATTTCCTGTCACATTATTATTCAAACAAGTCATTACTAGCGCCAGAGATGTATATCACATCGGGTGTTTTAGATAAAGACTTGATCTGTGTATTAGCTAAGTTCCGCACTCTTTCGCATAGTTTGAAAATACAAAAACTGCGTTATAGTAAAAATAATGCAAAAAAAATGTTGATCAGCTGATGCTATACTGTGACCATTGTGATGAATAAGTTGTTGAGGACGAGTACCATTTTGTACTAGTCTGTTCATACTATAAGCAAAGTAGAAATACATTTATTCCACAATATTACCACAAACAGCCTTCTCGTCAAAAATTAATTGAACTAATGTCCTCTACAACACATTCAACAATCAAAGGTCTTGCTTTGTACCTAAAGAGAAATTTGAAAAACACAAGAAACAAACAAACATAATTATGTATTATGTATTACGTCACATATCATGGAAACATTGTAAGTCAACTGTGTGAGATCCACAAATAAATTAGATGTAAATGTATTGTACTCGGGGCCACGAGGCCTCCAATACTGAAATAAAGAATCTTGAATCTTGAAAATCTTGAAATGTAATGAAGCGTTGGCACAAGAAGACATGTTCCTCCAGATGGTCACAGGGGCGGTCGGATAGCCTAGTGGTTAAAGCGTTCGCTCTTCACGCCGAAGACCCGGGTTCGATTCCCGACATGGGTACAATGCGTGAAGCCCATTTAAGGTGTCCCCCGCCGCTTTATCGCTGGAATATTGCTAAAAGCAGCGTTAAACCATACTCACTCACTCTTATGATGTGATGACGCAGTGGAAGCAACGACAAGTTAAGTCCAATAACTATTGTCATGAAATACTTGAAAACATATGTAATCAGATGATTGATTTCGCTTTCTGTATTTCGAAATAAGTTCAGTTGAGCCCCGCTTACTCCACCCCAGACATCGGGAATCCTCGCCAAGCGGACGATATTTATGAAAAACGAAATATACGTACTCTGCAAGAAAAGAAACGCCAAAGTATTCAAATCGTAAATATCTGACAGAGTGTTGCCATACAAACTTAATACCAAAAATGAATTGGTTATTGAATTGGGATTTACTTGTGTGGAAATTTGGTTAAAAGATAGAAATATCGCAAAAAACACAACCACGTGAGAGCCGAGACACATCCACATGACATGCACGTGCAACACCATTTGTTGGGCTATAAAATGTTAGATTTTCATTTGCATGCCATCACAATCTTACAGCAAGTGCACAAAGAAAAGACGACACGACTGACGGAGGTCCAACACAACAACGCCACCGGCCGACTGCGAACGGGAGAATCATCTTCATCTGTAGCCAGGTTTTTCCACGTAACACTAAGCACCTTTACAAGACTGGAACCGTTATCAGACACATGGGACAACACGGGACCTTCCAAGCTCCGGTCGACCAAGGACCACTTCTTGAGCACAGGACAGATTCATTCGGCCACGTCACTTACGTGAAAATACACACCACTGCGATGGAGACAAATTTCCTTTAGTGACGAGTCACCTTTTATGCCTCGCCCTGCTGATGGTAGACGTTGTGTTCACAGGCGTCGCGGGGGACGTTATGCATTAAACTGTGTGATGATGTGGGCAGCCATCTCCTACACTGGTAGAACAGACTTGGTGCAAGTGCTGGGATATTTAATGCCACAACGTAACACGGATGAGATTCCTCGGCCTCACGTCCTCCCTATTAAGCAAGCGAATGTCAGTTTACAAAAAGACACGGCAAGACTGACGACAACATTTTTCAGGAATCACAACATCTAGGTCCTGCCATGTACAGCTCCACGTGCAGTCATCGAAGCCCCACGGAGAGCTGGCGATACGACCACTTTCATGTATAAGATATATATATGTCATGCACCTCACTGTCGCAGTTGAAGTAGCACATCTATATAATCATGCAAAAGAATATGTAAAGCGCACCTAATGCTTGCATTAGACCAGTCTGTTCTGGTTTCAGAAAAAGTTCGTATGGTTACAAACAAGAGAAAAGTCAAGTCACGTGATATGCAAATTAGCCTGTGGTAGTGGTGTCTTGCTAAGTCCCGTTGCACCGGAGTGTGTGCGAATTCGGCACATATCTACAAATAACACGTCCCATTTTAATTCTGGAAACCCAAAAGTCCAGAAACTCTACGGTCTTTGCCCAGTCTCGGTTAAAGGTATTTACAAAATTAAACATGCCGTTTTCATGGGAACATACCAAGGAAGAAAAAATGAAAAAAAAATTGTTTAAAAACTCAATATTTAGACTATGTCGCCCATGGGCCTGCCCATGGGCGAAGTCTGGCCCATGGGTAGGCCCATGGGCAGGCCCATGGGCGAGAATATGTTCCTTTACTTAAAACTCATGTTTTTGTTTCGCAAATACATTTCATGTATTCATTCAAGTATCATGACACAAAATGTAATTCATTTTAACTTAATTCAACGATTTTATAACGATATTGAAATATTTCGCCCATGGGCGAGAAAAAGGTTTGGCCCATGGGCGAGAATATGTTCCTTTACTTAAAACTCATGATTTTGTTTCGCAAATACATTAAATGTATTTATTGAAGTATCATGACACAAAATTTAACTCATTTTAACTTATTTCAACTATTTTATAGCGATATTGAAATATTTCGCCCATGGGCGAGAAAAAGGTTTGGCCCATGGGTAGGCCCATGGGCAGGCCCATGGGCGAGAATATGTTCCTTTACTTAAAACTCATGTTTTTGTTTCGCAAATACATTTAATGTATTCATTCAAGTATCATGACACAAAATTTAACTCATTTTAACTTAATTCAACGATTTTATAGCGATATTGAAATATTTCGCCCATGGGCGAGAAAAAGGGTTTGGCCCATGGGCGAGTATATGTTCCTTTACTCAAAACTCATGTTTTTTTTTCGCAAATACATTAAATGTATTTATTCAAGTATCATGACACAAAATTTAACTCATTTTTACTTAATTCAACTATTTTACGGCGTTATTAAAATATTTCGTCCATGTTTACGTCAGTCCCTTTCAAGCATCAACTAACTGTTTGCAAAGTATATTGTATCATGTGAAATATACTTTATATTATAGCATTACATTACTATTTAAAAAGGGCATTTGGTTGGATGTTTCCTTTAGTTCTACAAATTTCACCTGTTTTACATATTGTAGCGATCTTTAATGAACCCGGCCTTACCTCTCAAAACGTTTTGACAGTTTATCATACGAATTCATGTGCGTGTACTCCAATTCATTGGAGTTATTTTCCACAACATTAAATTTTAGTTAGTTTCGATTTCATTTCCCATTTAATGTCCCGTTGATACATCACACTGGGCAATTACGTGACACCAGGTATGCAATATACAGGTACGCGTGCGCGTATTTTAATGAAAAAAACTATTCGTCTTTTATTGCATAACGTTTGGCTGAATATCTTACATTCTAACGAAATCTCGAAATAATTATTTAATTACATGCGGTTTCGAACTGACCAGTGGGAATTATGTTTCAATGCGATTGAGGAAAACGTGAGTGAATATTGTGACACTAAAGCAACTTTTAACTGCATTGTCACTTTTGGTATGAAAATGGTAATAGTTCAGAAAAAACAACAGCCTCCTTATGATAATTCTCATTAGTACGTTGTATCTAATTACAGTGTCGGCCTTATTTACAGGTGATTCTACAATACCTGCTCTCGGTCAATTACGATCTACCACACCACGCGTGAATAAACAGTTATGCAGGTGTTGCTGTGGGCAAATACCTAGCCTGAAAATGTTTATTTTTTTTAGGATACATGTTTTACAAATGTTCGTTGATATGTGGATATATTAAGCACAAAGACAAAAAAATGTTTATGAAAGATGAATTTGTGCCTTGATATATTCATCGAGATGTGTATTATCGTTTAAGGGGATCATTCAATAAACGTATGTTTGGAGGAGATATCAAAGGAGCCGCCCAATATACACAGTGTCGTCCGGTGAACTACCACCCCACCCTGTCCATTAGAGTTATGTAATCGGTACACAAATATATTTGATGCGGTGTCAGTGCGGAAGGAGTTTGAATTACGTCCGTCAGTTGTCACAGAAATCCTCAAAGTATAGAAACAATAAACAAGGTCAATCCGTACTAATTACCTAGTGACGCACGTAACAACGACTGTCAATAGGGAAAATGGTGAAAACAAATTGAAATAGATTTTAATAAAACATTACTGTACTACATAACTCGCAAAAGCGGTGCCTAAAATTTTTGACCGTGTTATGTGTGTTGTAAACTGACGAATAGCAAGTAATTGTCATGCTGTACGCATGGTTCCATATACAAATTCAGTTATACAACCGGTATGAAACTGAGAACTGAGATACCAAGTACAACCTGCATTCACACACGGAAGCAATATACTTGTGTGTATGCCCTCTCCTCTAAAAAATGTATCACTAAAGTATTTGCATTGTAATAAATATAGTAATGATAAAACTTGGTAATTTGGTAGGTCTCCGACAGATATGATTTTCAGTTTTTTTACACCTTTGATTGATACGGATTACGTACCTGTAGTCTAGTCACTGTCTCTAATGTATCTGCTTGTTAGAAATTTCAAATGTC